TTTTTTTTTTTTTTTTTTTTTTTTTTTTTTTTTTTTTTTGTAGAAAATTTTCTAGCATGGGAAGAATCCTAATTGAATATATTCATTTTGTAGAACAAAACCAGCTAAAGCAGAGAAAAGAAAAAAGAAAGGTAAAAAGGCAGAAAAAACTAAGGGGATAAAGAAACCAAAAGCAGGTAAAGGAGAACGAAATATGAGGCGTAAAGTTGGAGGTAGAAAACGAAGATAAATATATCTATTACTATCTTCGTTTATGCTATTTTAATCATATTAAATGTATTAAATGTAACATAATTTAAAAAGTACATTACTAGATATATTGAAATAAATGTTGATACGAAAACTTTGTATCTGTTTCTTTATAGTAACTTCCAAGAAAGAATTTTGATATTGATATTGATATTTTTGGTAAATAGGTTGAACTTGCATTACGTACGAATATTATTTTTTAAAGATTTAAATTTAAACTATCATCTAACTAATCTAATAATAACTGTAAAAGATTATAGGATACAAATAAAAATATTCAGTGAATAATAAAAATATTTTTTTCATCACCACAGTAAGAAAATAACTATTTTAGAAAATACGTAAAAAATGAAATACAATCAAATTAAAACTGAAATATCGAAATAATATCAATCATGCGGGAAGTTATGAATTCAATTCTCGTGCGTGAAAATATAATTAAAAAACTCGATGAAACTGTCGCGAATTAAATGAAAGAATAGTGTTGCAAGTCGATAAAGCAGGTTGTCCCTTGGCCACAGAATCAGGGTAACGCGAGAAAGGTGAAAGGTCAAAAGCAGCACGGGATATCGACTCGGGAAAGTCGAGAGGGCGAGGTAACCTGGTAGCGGGTGTAAGGGAGGGTAAGTGCGAAAACGGGTTGCCCTAGAATCAGTAAGGGGTTCCACCCCACGTGTGATTTTATACATATTGTATATGTGTATATGTTCAATGTCATCTAAACGAAATATATTACACATTAGTATATCTTGCGCAATCTATAGGAGCCGAAATGTTAAAAATGTTAACAATTTGACTTTAATGTGCCCCACTTAATATCTTAATCATACTCTAAATCATATTCGCTTATCGCCATTTCATTATTCTCTTCTGTGTTATTTAAAAATCATAAATGGTAAATTTTCTTGAATATAATATAATGTAATATGTATATATGTTGCGAGTGAAATAAGGGCATACGGTTGAAGGCACAGTATTATGATATATTTCAGATTGGAAATACATTATACGATTCATGCCCTACTTGATCATGAAGCTGTTAAGTTTCGAATATTAGCTCATAAGCTGCATTTAGGAAAATAAAACTGTATTTATTTATTTAATTATTTAGGATACTATAGCGAGAAGTTGCGAATGTATGAAAGTAAATTTCCTGATATCGATTGTTGATCGATACATTTTAAAATATTTCAATATTACAACTGCATCTACATTCGGAACTGAACCTTACTCGATGAACGACGTAAAGAATATCCGTTACGCTATTTAGAAATTGCTATTTATCAAGAAATTGATCGTTTCAGTTTGATTTTTTTTATTTACCCAAGATAGAAAGTCGAGGTATACTGATATATTTTACTGTCGATTTTACGTGACTAGTTTGACTCTCAAAGTGTACTAGTGCTTTGTTAACTGACCACGATATTTTATCAAATCAGTCCAAAAAGGTATATATCCAGGATATTCTGATTATCTTATTTCTTTTTTTAAGCGCAAGAGAGCCACAGATACTTGATAAATCTATTTATTTTACATAACATAATCCCAGAGACTCTCACTACATCAGTTGCAAGAACTAATGGGAATAGTGACGGTTAGTTAGCAAAACGAATCCCGACCAGTTATCGCGGCATTACTATGTATGTATAGAAAAATCGAACATCATTAGGTATGTCTAGATACAGTAAGGCAAATATGTAGACAGTTATCGTTAAAACTGCTAACCTACATACATAAACTGCATAAGTAAGCATATGCCCGTTACAGAAAATAACTGCTGACTTTCTAATAAAACGTACAACCCCCATGAAACTCTTATGTAAGTGAAGATATTCGGAAAGGCGATTGAATGAAAAACATATACAGGATATTTCAGAAAGTTAATATAGAACTATAGAAGTATGTAGAAAAAAGTAAGTAAATGAATTCACGGGTATCATTAGTTTCATTGTTATAAGATATTTTTATATATGTTTAATATGACCTCCATTCATTTCAGCATCCCACTATTATTTCAATAATGTGAAAGCAAGCCGTAGAAGAACACTGCAAGTAAATCTACGATTATTCTGCTACTGCTGCCGAATGACAATAATTACTGCGTTCACTGTACAAGATTCAGTAATTTAAAATTTAGGCTACGATGTAGTGAACGCGTCTTCTGACAAATGAAACATCTGACGCTCGAAATGCACACACTCGTAAGAATCTGTATCCACATTTGATTACTTTATCGTATCGAGTCCGTCAGAACGCGGATCCACCGTAAACTACATCACTAAGTTGTAGACAGACGTGAAATAAAATCTCTTGCGTTGTTGCAGATTCGCAGTCGGAAACGTGTGACATCTTCGTGATATTTAAACCACGTTTATTTAACGCTGTTTTCTCGTTTTGGTCCCAACTCCCTGAAAGACTCTGTATAATCGAACGACGTAACGCGCGTGCGAGGATGGGTTGCAGAGGAAGGGATTGTCGAGCAGGAGGGCGAAGGAGTAATCGCGCGCGGTCGGTCGCGGTGCTCAGTTGGTGGTTGCTCGGGACGAACGGGCGCGTCCACGAAGTGTGGGGTAACGATGGAGGCTGCGTTAATTGCGACGACCGAGTGATACACACCGTGTGTATACACGGGGATCGTGTCCTGGATTCGTGGCCCGCGTATTCCATCGCGCGCGCCTCCCGCCCCCACCCCCCCTGTGCCTGTGCCCGTGCATTTGTGTGCGTGCGTGTCCCTCTAAAATACGGTGGTCTGGTCGTTTAGCATCCCTTAACTATCCTCGAGAAGGATAAAGTAAAGAAAATATTAACACAGAGAGGAAAGGGGGAGAAAGAGGAAATACAGTGTGATATAAAACGGAGAGAAAGGCAAAACACGGACACGGGGAAAATGTCGTCCACATAGTAGGACCAAGGCGAACGAAGAGAAAGAGAGAAAGAGAGAGAGAGAGAGAAAGAGAGAGAGAGAGAAGCAGGTCGAACACGGTGCAGTGGTTATCCTGAGTCGTTGGTACGCGCAGCCTTTTGGTGTTGCTGGCTGACTTGATGCCTGCTTTGCTATTGCTGTTGCTGCCGCCGCCGTCGAATCGCCGCCGACGTTGCTGCAGCAGTTGCTAGCGATGCGAAAATGAACGAGAATTTAAAAAAAAAAAAATTGAGAAAGATAATGTGTTGCTGAGAGGGAGAGAGAGAGAGAGAGAGAGAGAGAGAGAAAGAGAGAGAGAGAGAGGGAGAGAAAGAAACAAATGTAGCCTTCATTGTTCCGTCGTCGTCGTCGTCGTTTGGTCGTCGTTTTATTGTACAAACCGCTCTTCTGTTAATGCGATGCGCGTTTCTCCTAACGTAAATTACAAAGAAAAAGAGAAAAAAAAAGAAAGAAAGAAAAGAAAGAGGGAAAATAATAAATGTGACGTGCCCATCGGCCACCAGCCAGCCTTTTACTTTTTTTTTTACGCGCTTCATATATGTATTCTTTCTTTTTAGGAACTAAGTAGGATCGTATGAGTTCGTATCTCATTGAGGATCCTGTCGGTCCTTTGATATTTTTTTTCTTTTGGGATTCTTCACGTTTTTTACTTAGCTTTGTGTATAGCCTTTTCTTTTTACTTGCTTCATGCACGCACGTATATCATAGCATGTAATGTACATACATTCGTTTCTTATCATCGATATATATGATTATATAGCGGTAATTACGTTTGCTTGCTTGCTTTTTCACAGGAATTCATTATTCTCGGTTTTTGTATTCCTGACTCGCGGCTCTGTACGGTGCTTAGTCGATGTTCAGCATGCGATACTGTCCGTTGCAGTTAGTATTGTTTCATGCTGGGTACATTAAGATTTGGCGTGCCCATCCGATTTGTTTACGTTTTCCTCGCTTATATTATATTATTACAAAAAATATATAAACGCTGACCATTTATAACAAAAATAGCTCATAAGAGCTAGAGAGAAAGGATTGAACAAAATGGAACGGGTAAGAAGCTCGAGACAGAGATAGATAGCGGAAAGGCATTGAAAATGAACGTGACGAAATAAGGTAGGGAAGAGAGGAGACAAAAAAAAAAAAGAGGGAAATGGAAAAGGGTGGGATACAAAGAAGGGATAACTAGAACGTGTCACGATAAAAAACAATGAGGAAGAAGAGGGTTTTTCGATTTGTTACATTTGTGTCGGAAACACTTGACCCATTGACGGGTCAAGGAGCAAAACGGAAAGGTGCCAATACAGAAGTATTCTCGTAATGTTCACTTTGAGAAAATTTTCAAAGCTTAGAGGTAAAGATCAAAGACTGTTTAAATGAAAATATTGTACAAAAATATTTCGATCGAACTAATATAGTCAGTTATTGTAATATAATTTTTGTATAAATTATGACAAGATGTTCGTGAGTTCTTTTTTTTTTTATGTAAATTGATAATCATCTTTTTCTTATATTTTAGTTATATATATATGTTCATAAATTTTTATGAAGTTAAAAGTAGGTAGTTTTGGTATTTTGTCAAGGATTTTTAATTTTGTATATACTTAACAATCGTATATGTTTATCCGTGTCTAACAAGTATCTTTTAAATTTTCTACTCTCTCTTTTTAGAGTGCAATTTTTTAATGTAAAAAATTATCACGGTAAATTCTTTCTTACGTTCCGCCATCTTCGTAAATGATTCCTGTTCTTATTTCTTATCTGTGTATGTATTTATATGTATACCTCGCATGTCATCTTTTGCTAATTACTGACATAGCGATAGAGAGTTTAGTAATAAATATTTCTATCGTGTGCTTTTCTTGTGTAGAAGAACCGTATAAAATATAAAATCAATGTAATTATGTATATTATATTAAATTAGTTTCCTTATTTTTCAAATCTATCTCATTTTGTAAGTAATTAGCTAACAATTTTATATAAGACCTTATACAGAGACTTAATGTCGCTAATCAATCAGCTTATTAACAACTGTATAGGTTGACACTAATTGTAAATTTCTAAATTATATTAAAAAAGAAATAGCATTTAGTAAATATGTCGTTCTCGCAGATTATTATTTGCTTTTAGTATTGAATTTTGTTTTGAAGCACATCGAATTTGTGACCTATTCTCAAAACAAGTTACAAATATTTAGTATTAAAAATATGTTGCGTAAAAAAACGAATGAGATATTAACAAACTACAAGTTATGTAACTTTATTTAACGAAAAATGATAAAACCATTTTCTTATTTGTAACTTATCAACATCATTAATTTTGTACTTGTAACTTATTAACATTGCTAATTTTGTAACTTATTAACATCATTAGTTGGTAAATGATTACGGAAGAGAGCCCAGATGTTCAAAAAATCACAAATTCTGCCCTCTAAACAAAGTTCAAACCATTTATAGTATGCATACGTAAATAAAAAACGCTGTAAATAAAAAAACGCTTTTCACGTGCTTCGTGCTAGAATATTAATGGTAGAATTAGTATATGACGGCCGCCAATAGCGGGCGGATGTCCGTCATGTTTCTTGCGTTTACAGACGAAAAAGACAGGAAGACGATGCAAAGGGATCTAAGCTCGTAACAGAAAGAACGCCTGGCCCGAAGGCGTTAAACCGGGAAGAGTATAAATCGGGCGCGAAGCAATGTACGCAGCTGCGGGTGGCGCCAGTATTGCGAATAGGAGGAAGCAGAAACGGCTGCAGCTAAATAAACGCGTCACCGAGGGTACGATCCCGTCACGGCTGAAGACGATACCAGCTTCTCAGCACCACTACCACCACCACCAACACCAACACCAACACCACCACCACCCCAGCAAGTTTGCTCGTCCGCACGTTGTTCCACCATCCTCCACATCACAGCCACCACAACCACCGTCATCTGCATTCCATCCGAGCATCGATCGACGGCGTCATCATGTTGAGAAGTGTCAGCAGGTTGCACCTGTTTCTCCGATCCAATTTCCAATCTCGCCACCGCCACTGTCCCTCGAGTCGCCAAGTTCGGTTACTTATCCGAGTAAATCTAATAATTTCCCATTTCCACCACCATCGATCCTCGATCTCCGAGTTTCGCCATCTTCTTCGGAGCTACAGGTGGGTAGATCCATTTAGCGGTAAATACTTTTTAATTGCTCTATAGGGTCGTTTTCATTATCAATACTTATCTATTTTAGCTCTACTTTTTCTCTTCTTTCTCTATCACACATTATAGTTGCTCTTGCCATAGGTAACCCTTTTATACTCACTCAGTATTTATAACGCAATCTCTATCCTTGTTCAAGTATTTGATAAATCCTCGTTGCACTCTGCACCTCTTCTCTTCTTGCTGGCGCACATTTACTTATAATTAGGAATACACCATCGATCGGCTGTCTGGTGGCGTATGTAAACCCCCGCGATAACACACACATCCTCGAGCGGCTCCAGGTTCGTCAGCTGGTTATCCATCAATTGTAATTTTTTTTTAGTAATTAACATGTCCTCCCCCCCTGGTTCCTACCAGCGGATACAAGCATCACCTACTAATGCTGGAGGCAGACAGTGCGATGTTAGGAGTAAGTTGTAGTGCCTGGTACCAGTCACGATTTGGAGACTTTTAAGAAAAAAAAAAAAAAAAAAACTCGTGTGGTTCTTTTGGTTTTTTCCGTTCCGAGGGAAGGATAAGGGAAGAATTTATAAATTGTAACCGGTGTACCAAAGAAAGTGGAAAGGAGAAAGAGGAGGAGGAGAAAGAGCGGAAGGACGATCGAGATCTTAACGATCAATAAAACAGGCAAATGAATGAGCGGAATGCAGGCTGCTTTATTGATTAGAAGGGAGAAGCAACGGTTACGGGGGGGTAAGGTGGTGAACTTTAGAGAATTACCCTCCAACTTGGCCACCAGACTAATTCCGCCGCTTCCACGATATCCCCCACGATCATATGTTTATGGGGTAAGTATTAAAATCATTTTAATATGCTGTATCATCAACAGTAAGCTATTGGCATCGAAGGGTAAACTGCTGCTTCCCTAGCTAATTATATGTGCATCAACTTTGTATAGTTCTTTTTTGGATCAAAACAATTGATATCGTAGTTGTTGTTCATCCCTTTCTTACTTTTTTCTTGTCATAGAGTAATTACTATGCACCAACTTAAAAATACAATTGCTGAACATAATCTAGAGAAATTGATGTGTACAAAATTTCAAATACTTTATATTATTACACACTGCTTAGTATGAATTTTGAATACTAATATAAGTTATGATTTAAAAGCAAGACTATCACAAATGATCGTGCGATTTTTCAACTCAAAAAAAAAAAAAAAAAAATGTATTCCTTAAAAGTGGAAAAGTTTTCTTAATACCAGGATTCACAATATTAATCTTCAGACTAATATAGTGCGAAAAATTGTAATTCTACAATGTGCACTACTCGATACTCCACACCCGAAGGTTGACAACTGTTACTAATTATGTTTAATCAATTTTTTATTGTCAATTAAAATACAATGATTGCAGTGTACTTGTGTAGACAAGTTCTACGATACATGTACGTATAAAACGTTTATCGGTTCCATTTATATATACAAATTTTTCTATGTTCTATCTAGTACATGCATGCATGTTTTTACCTTATTTATGTGCTGAGTAACGAGGACAAAAATAATTGACTATCTAATAACATAGTAACAAATTCTAGATATTTGTTTGATAAAAAGACATGTTTTAAATGATAGAGAAAGATGCAAATTACATAATCACATTGATTTTAAGTTTTTGTATTTATTTATATTTTGTATAATAGTATAAATACATATATGTAATACTTATAATATTAGACTGTTCACAATTTCATTATATTCAAATTTAATAGACATTAAAATGTTGAATCGTAGTTATTAAAAAACTCTTTAAAGGTAATACCTGAACAAAGAATAATTTCAGTGTGGTGGAGGACCTGGTAAAGCAGCATGGCAAGGATGCAGCAGACCTTCTCCCCTTCCTTTATCTCCTATGTCACCTCATGGATGTCGCGGAGATGGCTACAAGACAAAGCAGTGCGAGGCTCATCGACGATGGATGAAAAGGAACAGGGTAAACAAGCATTTGTAATAATCTAAAGAAAAAATTTTTGAGTTATATACAAAACGATTAATTCATTAATATCTATTAAACATATTAAACATATTAACCTTATATATTGTTTTATTTATATATCATGTCAAAAATTATGGTTGTTCTATAGTTCTATCCTTATTTTTAGATAAGAGATGCAAGTTATTGCTATGGAAGCAGTGGAGAAGATGACGAAGAAGATGGAAGCAGTAATGCAAACCGTCGTAGAGGTGAAGTCAGTGCGGCAGTGAATACCGTACTATATGCGGGGCTGGGAACTACAGCGCTCGGATTAGTTATATCGTTTGTCGGCACTGGAGAGAAAGGATTCCTCAGTCCAGAATTGAGGCTGGTGGGTCCTTCGCTACTGTGCGCCGGTTTACTGTGTTGTCTATTTCGGGTGCTGCTCTGCCTCTGTCTATGTCGTTGCGGTCAATGCCGTTGGCGGTTTTGTCACGTCGCTTCTGACAAGAAAGAAAAAGTGAGAAAAACAGAAGCTCGACCAGCTGGAACATTGCCTACCGCCTCACTTTTGTCACCAACGCATCAACAACACCAACAGCAGCAATCGGCCGTGTCCTCGAGTGCCGCTGCATCATCATCAACAAAAGCACACGAGCTCTTGCTCTCTCCTGCCCAGTTACCAGAGTGAAAAAACACACCGTTACGAACATTTTCTACAAGATTCGGATTTCGTGAGAAATCTACACGCCGATTAACTGCCGGTTCTTGTCCAATATAGAAATATCTTATCTCCATTTGACCTGAACCGTTTTCGCAACAACAAAAAAGGAAAACAACAACCATCACAGCCTAATTCTAGTTTAAATGCGAATTCTAGCGCTTAAAGATGATAGTTGAATAAACAATCGGCTATGTTTTTCTACCCCTACTGTGTTTGAAAAAGTAAAAAAAAAGAAGAAAAAAAAGTAATTACCAGTGATGTTTGTGAACTGCCTACTGGTTTTATTTCCTTTTGCATTTCACTTTTCTTTACAAAAAACTTGCCCAAAGTTAAATCGTCTTTATTTTGGAGATTTCTTAAGGACATACTCCAATACAATAACAGATTAGCTTACCACACAGTTTAGTAAACCAATTTGACAGTCTTTTACAAAATGTAATCCTGCATGCAAAAGGTACGCGCATAGTTGAGAGACTCGTTTTGTAAATTTCACATTAAATAATATATATTTAACATCATCTTAACACATAATAATCAGGAAAGTTGGAATTGCATTTGATCGGCAGACGTGTAACTATATATAACGGGTGTATCTGACGTGGTGGCACTCGACGCTGTCGCGGCAATAGCAAACAACTGATCTTCGTATATGGTTCCTTGTGGTTCAGTTTTTCCATTGCCTGTTGCCGTACCACTACCTGGAGGATTATCTCCTTTCGTCGCTTCTCGGTACTTTTGTAGATATACTTTTAACGGTTCTACGTAATTATCAAAACCAAGAGTCGTCATAGCAAACAAAATATCTTCACCATTGATAGTCTTGCGTTTCTCCATGTGACACCTGTCACTTGCCTCGGACGTTATGAAGGATATAAATTCAGATACGCATTCTTGAACACATTCGCGTGCATCTTTCGCTATTTTTCCTGCCTCTGGTATCGCTCTCTTCATAATTTTAGCAACATTCGCTATGGGAAGAAACCGGTCCTGTTCGCGAAGAGGTCCTCCGCCACTGCCACCTCCAACTCCCTGCAAGGGATCACTGGCTCCGTGATTCGAGTCGTCCGTATTTTCAGGATCATCTAAATAAAAGTACAAGCATAAGTTTTTACATATCGATACGTAGAAGTGATACATACAATGATTCAATAAAGTGAAAATTGAAGAAAGTACATTTTTCTGTTAAAAATTTGGATTTTATAACGTTTAATATTGAATATAAATTTTCATTTGTGTTTTCATTATGTTTTCAAAACATGGTTAACCTACCTTCCATATCATCAGATTGTACGCTAATATACGAGGCGGAAACGCCACTACCGCCAAGGAATGCAGACGGACCCAGAGGTCCATCGTCTCCACTTTCACCACTGTTTTCCATTTCCAGTTTGATTTACGTTAAATACACTACACAATGATCTTTTCTTAACCTCCTTTTGTAGCTTTGTTTTCACGGTACTTTAGTGTATTTTAGGCATAGATAAGTTTTTACTAGATGTCAGTAACACATGTAGTATTTTAGTACCTTCACAACGAACGAATATTACAATTGTAACTATTCTACATTTTAAAAAAAAATTTCTCTGTATAAATATATGTACTATATTGTCTTTTTTTTAAATAAAACGTTTGATTTATAATTATTATATGTAATAAGATGTAAAAAAATAAATAGAAATAAACTAACCATTAAGACAGATCTCTAAGTAATGTAAAGAATCAAAATACCATTTACAAAGTGAATTTATTGTTGTGTACAAGTAGACAAGATACAAAAATAGATATAACCACAGACGAGGTATATTCATATATTTCGTCATAACTTATAATTCATAACTTAATAAATTGTTTAATGAACACAATTTCAAAATTGCACATTTTATCACTTCAGAAAACTCAATAATACGAATAAGGGATTTATTGTTTGAAAACATCGAAATTCTATAATGAATTTGAAAATTCGTGCTAGAAATATTAGAACGGACTATGTTTGTAGCATATGAAGGCGGATATGCAATTCTCATAAATATTTCGAATAGAACAATAATAATCGCAGTTTCGTCGTGTACGTATAAATGTGCAGCAAGTAGTTTATTTAAAGTTATTAATATGGCTATGTCTAGTATTTTATTAATGCGAAAAGGTCTTTCAATAAATGGTAAGCGAGTTTTTTTGTATTTGTAACATATGCCAATCACAATTCATACGCACATCATTTTTATCTTGACGTTTGTTGTCAAAATTTTGAATTAGATTATACAATTTTTATGAAAAATATTAGAAGAATTGTGCAACTCGTGTGATGATTGCATTTGTTTACGTAATTTTGTTACTATATGTTTTTCGTTAAAGTGTATTATGGTTTTGTTTATAGTATAGTACGAATACCGAAACAAAGTATGATGTTTCCTAGTATTACTGCAGCTGCACAATTTCATTTTGTACATATATCTTCAAATAATGCTATGATTTTCTGTGTTTATTAATCCCTTATTCATTCATGGAGATTGAAATGTTGAATATGTTAAGAAAGGAGGTTATGTTTGAATTCTATTTTACGTATGTATTTACATGATAAGTCATAAAAAAAAAAAAAAAAAGAATGATAGAACATCAGGAAGTCCTTGAAAAAAAATTCGTTAAAGAATTAACGGACAATTTAAAAGAAAACAGATTTAAAGAAGTTCTAAACTTTTTTGAAGATAACAGTTATGATGATATCATTAGAGAGTCCTCATGGGATATTGTGTCAACAGTATCATCCTACATTACTACAGAAAATTCTAAATGCAATGGAGACTTGGTTGAATGTTGTAAAGCAATATTAAATGCTATAGTAGAAAAATGTAATCCTTCCGAGACAGTGTTAGAACTGTTGGAACAAGTAGAAAGTCCAGAAGATGATATAAAATTTTCTATAATTTTAAGTGTGCTTAGTAAATGTCTTTTTAAAATGGACAAAAAGATGAGAGCCATAGAATGGTGTATCAGTACGTTAAGATCTTATATTGAAAGTCTACCAATACCAGAGAAAGATTCTCAAGATAATATTGTCATTATAAATAAAATAAAAAATGTTTATAATGCAGTTATATTATTTTTAGAACCATTAATAAATGAATCAAGATTAGAAAATGCAGGGAAATGTACCATATTAAGAGATTATCTTGCTAGCATTTTAATCTTTCTAATGGGAAAACCGTTGTTTTATTTTCAAAAAGGTGAACTAGAATCAAGTTTAAATCAGTCATTACCTGAGAAAATTGTAATACTTGTAAGTCGTGTAACTGGTGACTTGCTTTCATTTTTAAACATTGCAAGTACAAGAAGTAAAGAAACCAAGTCCAAGAAGAAGAATATAGATGAGGAGAATATTGATCTAAAAGTAACACTTTTTGAATTGGATGAGAACATATCAGATTTGGCATATGCTAATTTCTATTTCTATGTTATAACAAAACTGCATCTGTGGGAAAAAGTACCACAGATATATGATTGGCAATATATTTTTGAAGCGTGCATATATCTTATTATTAAATTACTGCAAGAACAAGAAAGCATTACTAAAGGTTTAAATCTTTTGGAACATCTTTTGATAAGATTAACAAGACGTTCTTTACCATTGCAATCATTACAGTTAAATATATACTTTGAATTATTCAATGCACTTGTGAAAATAATGATTTATTCCAATAACGATCAAGAAAGAAAAAAAGCTTTAAATTTATTTCAAAACTATATTGAAATATTCGATATACAAGCTAGATACTCAATTATTTTGTATTTATATCAAACTAGCGAACATTCAGGTTTACTGAGCTTAACTACTGGAATATTTAAAGCTTCTATTATTGAATGTCTCCAAGCATCACCTCCTGTACCATATTTTTTTGGTAATAATCTAGAAATTTTAATCAAACTGACTTGTAAATTACCACATGGTAGTGCATCAGATTTAGTGGAATTATCCGACGAAATAATCACAAGCTTGAATCTGTTAAGATTTCTATTTATAAGAGATGAGCAAAATCAAACTGGTATTTGGAACTTAGTAGATAAACTTCAACATGAATATTTAAAACCATTGAGAGAAGGAATACATCTTTGTAGAGCGCATTGGAAAGTAAAAATAAAAGATTTGGAGGAGCAAAAGAAAACGTACAAAATATTTGAAAATATAGAATTAGAAAAAAGTGATGCGGAGATAACATTAACTGTTGGTGATGAAAAATTACCAGCAATGCCAATTCCAGAAAAAATTACATTTTGTTGTCAAGCCATAAATGGTCTTGATGTGATGGAAAGTGTTTTGATTAGAGTCAATGAATGTATTGCTAATAATTCTTTCAGACTAAATATCAATAAAATAGTATCTTCAGAATAAAAATTGTACATTTATGTAATATATATATAATTCACTATTGAATAAAATCATTCCTCATTTACGTTTCATGTATTTTGACTATATCCTACTATTTATTATTGATAATCACATTTCTTGGAATAAAGAAAAAGAAATTAAAAATAAATTTTAATTTTAATAGGTCTTAGACGTTTATGGACTTGTAGAGTTTTACTCACAGATCAACCCGAAAATGATCAGCAGCAATCAAATCGAGAACATAGTAAAGAAAGCGATGAGGAATATGAGAAAAATATCAAAATGAAAATTCTTGCCGCATCTTTAAAATATGTTCATGATCTTGGATGGAGCCAGCAAGCCATCAGTGCTGGTAATTTGTAATAATTTTTCAATTAAATAGAGGAGTCAAAATTAATTTTTTGTGTGAGTGAATAAATATATTTTCACTGTATTATAGATGTAATATGTTCATTAGTTCCTTTCAATTTTAATTTAAAAATAAAACTTTCATATTAATGTATAATGCAGGTAAATAAAAATATTTAATGAAAAGTTATGTACTTAAGGTGCTGAATCAATTGGATACCCTGGGATAATTCATGGATTATTCCCTAATCGAGGAGCAGATTTGGTTCATTATTTCTACTTAACATGCAATAAAGAATTGAATAAAATACTTGAGGAGCAAGCTCTTGCTGTTGAACAGAGTCCTACTAAAAAGAAAAAGACACTAGAATTACAAGTACGCGATGCTGTTGAAACAAGATTGAGAATGGTGATTCCATATAAAAAAACATGGCCACAAGCTTTAGCCCTTATGACCTTACCACCTAATGTACCATTATCATTAGCTAATTTACTCACTTTAGTGGACGATATTTGCCATTATGCTGGTGATAAATCAGTTGACGTAAGAATGATAAATATAAATATATTTTTATACAATTCATATATAAAAATAAATTTACAATTTATTAATAAGTTAGTAAGTTATATTAAAACTTTTTTGAACCAGATGAACTGGTACACTAGAAGGATAGTATTAGCAGGTATTTATAAAACAACTGAATTGTACATGTTACAAGATAATAGTGAAGATCATTGGAAAACTTGGAATTTCTTGGAAAGACGAATAAAAGATGCGACACAAGTTCATACAATTTTAACAACAACTTCTGATATAGCATTACCAGATTTAAATCGTGCTACTGAAACAGCGAGTGCTGTTTTTGTTACAGTAAGTTTTTTAAAGTTTGAATTGCTTTCAAAAATAACTATATATTTCCATTTCCAATAGGCACGCAATATACTCGGACTGAATTGGAATAGGTAGGAAAAAAATAAAAATCAATGTCTAGATCACTAAATAGAGGAAAATATGAAACATTTTTGTGAATTTATTTGTTACAAATGAAAGCGTAAATAGTTTATACAATAGTATTCAAATAATAGTATTTAAAAAAAAGAGTAACATTAAGACCAAATAACGATCATGGCTAATTTATTTTAGTATTACATATTTCAACAAAATCTGTACATTTGAGGTCAAATTTAATAAATGTTATTTATTTTTATGCATATAAAGATATAAACTGTTAGAAATATAGATTTAATAATATTTAACAATTACCCTGCAATATTATCGTGATTAATATAATTTTCTGTTTCATATAAAATTATGTTACATCTCTCATATTAAACGAGAGATCAACTTCTGTTCTTACTATTGAATTGAGCAGGAATTTATTTTTATTATGAAGAATATATTTACAAAGAGAAATGAAGATACACACCACACAGCCAAGTAGTTCACAAATCAACTTCGGATCACGTTGAAAGATATAACGTATTTCATACAAAAAAGAAAATAGTATATCTTTCAACTTATATTAATCAATTTTTATAAAATTGAAGATATCTCACAATCTTAACAATGAGCATTTCTTATTAAAAAACACTCGTATCTAATCGCGTCTCGCGAAAATTTTTCCAAAAGAAGCTATTGTTATACAATATAAAACACTGAATTTTTCCAATTAATAATGCGCTTCTTCTATATAACCTTTGATAGTTTTCGGTAAAGGCAGTTTGTGAATATTGTCTAATCTTGTATATTGACGTATGACAAAACGACAAAGATATTGCAAACTTCGGACTTGAGTAAACCTACTCACTGGCTTTGTTAATCTAACTGGAAAAGACGGATGACCGGGATACTTAGGTCGTGAATAGCAAAAGACACCTGATTGGCTAAAATTCATTGAATAGTTAATTAAGTCAGCCACCGAACTAAACCCTTCGCTTTCACTTTGGTTGCATAAAGAAAATAAACCGCCAGTGTGTTCCATACGAGCATGAAGTAGTTTGCCAGATGATTTAAAGCTAAGTGTCAGAACATATCTACAGAAAAATAAACATTAAATATATATTGCATAATACGAGTTGCATTTTTAATAATATTTCTAACAAAAAAAGAAGAAAAAAACAAACCTATCGTCTGAGGAATCTCTAACTAAGAATGCACCATCTGGTTCAGATAGAAGTTTGGCATCAGCTTCGTTTCCTGATATTGGTCCCCAATACCATCCATAGTTACTTAATTTCAGCAGTTCCTCTGTAAGACTTGCTTTTATTTTATTATCGTTACTTCTATTAATCTCTGTATTTTCATTAGTTCTTTCAATTTGATGTTTCACTACATTTTCTATTGTTGATCTAGATCCTGACTCATTATCCGAGGATGATTGGCATATATTAGAAACATTTTCTTGATTAGCATCTGTGTTGAGCTTATTAATAATTTGTGTATCAATTATGTCTAGTTTCTCTTCGATGTCATTACAGTTATTTAAGGTTCTATTTAATCTTTCTGAAATGTATTTGCTCTGAGATACATCCAGAGCTAAGATTTCATTGCTATACTGATCATCGCAATTCCTATCGGTTTTGTAGTTTGATTCGAGCATGTTATTGTCTCTCGGGACCGTAGATGCATTCTTTTGAATCGTCAGATCATAGTTTGTTTCATTTTGTATGCCAGACGCTTCAACTTCCTTTGTCTGCAAGAAACAAACATCTTTCTATACAACAAAACAGAAGTCTTTTTCATGAAACATTTTGCACACTTACCCTTCGTTTGGATTTGTGCGTCAACTTCTTCACCTGCATGTGTCTTTTGATGTTCTTGAAGAACTCGAACGACGTTCTACTGCCGAGATTATTCCTCGCTTTACTCTCGACGATTTTAACTTCTGTTAACTCTTCCTTTTTCCTTTGACATCCTTGCTTCTTCGATGCGTTCTTGCGTCGTGAATCGCGCCACCAAAGGAAGTCAAACGTCCTGCCGTTCAACTTGCGCGGCCTCCAACTTCTCTTCGGCGTTCTCGCAGCAGACGCTGGTGCAATCGTGACGAAGTCCTCTGACGTTTGACTTATCATATTCAAATGCCGTGCGATACTTCAAACTGGCTCCAAACCAAAGGAAGGGCTCGCTTCCGCTATCTTATCGAAAATTATTTCAGACGCCATCTATTTCTTAGCTCTTTTTCTCCTCTCACGATAATAAACCTCTTTCTTCGAAATTTGACAAATCTCACCAAGGAACTTCCATTTGACAATTGTTCTCCGGTATTATTCTCGCGTCGACGCGAGATAAATGCAGTCAACCCGAAACTGTTGCTTTTGTGTAGTTTCGCAAATTTCCTCCGAATTAATCCCCGCTTTGATATGTTTCTCCACTAACTTCGTCGAAAAAGTTCCTATCCGTCCGTGCAGTTTTCGGTTAGAGTATCACTTGAACTTGACAGAATTGATTTCTTTTCAGTGTAAAAAAAGCAGATTATCTGTCCCGCAAGTCGAGCCAGGAAAAGTATAATTACACCGTGTAAATAAAAATCTGTTGACAAAATACAGTCAAAATTCGTGATCGTGGAATCATAATACAGAAAGCGAAGTTTTTAAATCTTTTATTTTTTAAGAGTATCTGAGTCAAATTAAATAAATATATCATATTTTTTTAACAATGATACGAATTATTCATAAAGGCTATAGATTGTTAGTAACTAGAATACCACGTGATCAATAGTATTTATTTCCTTCGATTTGACTCGATGAACAGAGTTGAACAGAGAACAATTGTTGGTTGGTTTAACAACATACATTTTATTTTATTACAAATGTAGTTTGTTTCAAATGCATTCTTCTAAAGTAGGACATCAAGTTCATTGAGAATAAAAGGGAAGAATAGTTTTGTTATTGTTAGGTGTTATCTAACCTCAAATGTGTCGCTCGTGATAGTTAAGTAAATTACACGTATAAACGAAGAATCATTTTTCTTCTATTGTTAAATGTTAAACACTGACTGTTAGACATTTAAAAAAATGAGCGACTCCGAAGATGAAAATTATGTTACTTTTGGAGTTCCTCTTGAACCAATAGATGAAGGTAAATAAAGAAAAATATTTGAAGATATAATTGTAAAAATGATACATTTTTATTTGTACATTTTACAGATAATGTACCAAGGAAAAAACCAATGACAATTGAAGATCAATATGCGTATGATGCACAAGGTAGGCGAAGATTTCATGGTGCATTTACAGGTGGTTTCTCCGCTGGATATTTTAATACTGTTGGTACAAGAGATGGCTGGAGACCGCAACAATTTAAATCATCAAGAAGTAGTAAAGCAGAAAGTATCACTCAGCGTCCGGAAGATTTTATGGACGAAGAGGATACAAGTGAGTTTGGAATTGCACCAACTGGCATTCGGGCTAGTGAAAATTATGTAAATTCTGGTCAAAGAGGTACGAAACGTGAAAGAATTACTCGTGATAACAACAATCCTATTCCTGGTACTCCAGTTTTAAAGGAGCTTTTGAAACCTGTGAAGTATGTATTTATAAAAATTGAAATCGAATAATTTTAACTTTAGATCGGTGTTAATAATAAATGTTTAATATAATAGAGAAACAGTTGGTATTATATTATTAAAGAAAATGGGATGGAGACCAGGTCAAGGTGTAGGATCAAGACTTACAAAAAAACAGAAGGCTAAAATTAAAAAAAAAAACGAAAGAATGAAAGATATGCAGCAAGGATCTAGGAAGCTAAACTTGGAAAATAGCTCTGAGGATTCAGAGGATGACTATGAGAATGTTACATTTGCACCTGATGACTATGAACCATTTAGGTAAATTGAAAATGTTGTGTATATAATTTTGATATGCAAAGATATGTTATCTCTAATTGTTTTTTTCATAGATGCAATCCAAAAGATAATTATTTTGGCATAGGATATTGTGGTTTAGACAGAAGAACTATATTGTCTGGTCATGTAAATTTATTTGAAACTCCGGCATTTAGTATTCGGGATAAAAACAAAAAATTATCGATACATGGGCAAGCATTTGGTGTTGGAGCGTTTGAAGCTGATGATGAAGATATATATGAGAAAGAAGACATGTCGCGTTATGACTTTTCCTTAGGGCCTGAACGAAAAACCAAAACAAGGTGGTCTGAGGATAGTAGCTCGAGAAATTTAAACAACTGTTTAGAAGGTTTCGTGCTGGCAAAAAATAAATTAGAATTGAAAAAAGTCTTCCCACCTCCGGAATTGCCCAAGAATTTCGTGCCTGTGCATACAATTAGAAAAAGTAGATTTTACCCACCAATCGAAAATGTTCCTCGTAGAACGGAGAATGGAAAACGCAAAGATCTCACAGCTGCGGATAGAGCCAAAATTTTGGAAGATACATATAATACAAAAAAACCATTTGAAACGCATCCGAATTTGGTACCATCTGTGGCTTCTAATATCATCTCGAAAACGTTAAATTTACATGGGAAACAGCAAACGGAAGAAAGACAGAAAGAAGAAAATCAACGTACCAAAGCAGCTGTATCATGGATGGAAAAACTAACTGCCCAAAGTTTTGTTAAAGGAGGCACCGTTGGTTCCAGTAAAGATTCTGATGGAAATTTAAAAAAATTAGAAGAATTCAAGGATTCTTCGACGACCTCTGATAAACAAAATAAATTGCGTCAAGATAACGTTGTGAAACCATATTTTTCTGACTCTGGTAAACAAAGACGATTTGAGCAATATTTAGTCTTTGTAAAAGAGGGAGAGAAAAATAAGCTCGAAAGTATACAGCCATTGTCTATGACAGAATGGGATAGAGAACATGAACGAATTGAATTTGAGCAAGCAATCAAACTGTTTGAACAACCGACGAATGAGTATGTTGCGAATAAATTTACAAGTGCTTCTGATCCCAGTAGATCGGACGTTTTTGCACAGTCTAGTCAAGAAGATGAAATTAAACAGGCTGTAAAGATGAAAATGTTTGGGAAATTAACTCGAGAACATGTGGAATGGAAGCCAGCCAGCATAGTTTGTAAAAGGTTTAATATTCCAGAACCAAAGGTTGGTTGTGCTCAGCCAGAGATGCAAAAAAGATCGGCAAAGTTTTCGATCTTCGATTCTCTCGATTTTAATAATTCCGTGAAATTTTTGCGAGCGTCGAAGGAAATAAATGATGTTAGTACGTCATCAAATGTTAGTGAAAATACTGACAAAAATATGCTTGATAATACAGAAAAACACATTATTGACAATACGGATTCAAATGTTAAAGAGACGAGTGATGATATATTTTCCCACAATCATGAAACTATCGAACTTGTATCAGAGAAGATGAGAAATTTCGAAGTCTCTTACGAGAAAGTTTTCGGAAAGGAAGTTTCAGAAACATCCTTAAAAACAGATTCAAATAGAACAACAGATACAGAAACTATGAATCAACAGGAAAGTCAAAAAAATATCAGTTCCACAATGAAAACCTCTACGTCAAAAAGTAAATCAGAAGAAAAAAAAGATCTTTTTAAATCAATTTTCTTAAGCAGTAGCGAAGAATCCGATTCAGAGTCAAACGAAAGCTTAGACAGCGAGGCCGTAAAATCGGTTTTGATCGGTAAAGTCCCAAGTGAGGTAAATGTAAATAGAAACACCTCTCCACCACGGGGAATTTTTGCAAAAGTGGATCTGGATAGTTTAGTTAACAATACAAAAAGTAACGTGCAATTGGATGAGACAACGAGCAAAGAGAAAGATGTTGTGAACACAGTAAATTCTGAATTAGAAACTGAATCCCAACAAGATAATTCTAATTCAAATCTTTCGGAGACTCAATTGTTATCGAATATGTACGGGCCTGTTCTTCCTTCGAGATTATTAAAAACTGAAAGTAAAACCGCAGAACCGTCTAGTTCTCAAATGTTAAAGCCTGTATTTAAAAGTGTCGTAGTACCGAAACCTAAAGTGGACTCTGAAATGTGTGGTGTATGGGTGGAACGGGAAAAAGTGAAGAAGTCAAAAAAGGAGAAGAAGAAGCACAAACACAAAGAACATAAAAGTTCGAAACACAAGCGGAAATCAAAAAAAGAAAAGCGTGCTTCGTAATATAAGAGATTGGAGTAACAAGAAAATGAAGTATTTATTATACGTTCCATTTTATTTGCATCATCGTACGGTGCCTTGTATATGTTCAATGAAATATTTGAAAATGCTTGTGCAAATCCGATATTGAGATAGTTCGATATATACAAGAATATATATCCTTATATGTTTTTATTTTTACATTATTTAATGCTTAGAATTTTTTTTATCGTTGTACAATTTAACGATATTATAGTGTCGGTAATGCTATATTCTCTTTAGAATTTGTGATTGAATTATTTGTTCGAGGTTGTGGAGTTTCTCGATGCCGGCCTACTTTGACTCGTGGAATTTATCTTCTTCTCTACGCTGAAAGTGTAAGAAAAACATCATTTCGATTTTTGGAAATTTTTTAATTTTACTCTTGTAATTCATATACGAATGTATATATGTATACGTATATTTATTTAATTTATCATTCTTTTCAACGTTTTAAAAATGATACTTTTTTTCAAAGTGTTTTCAAATTCGAAAGTTTTTTTGTACAATTTCACCAACCATTGATTATATGGGTCTTTTTCAATCTTTTCGTTTTAAATAAAAACGTACCTGTTGCTTCTTGAACTTCTTTTGAACATATCTGTCAACTTTTTCTTCAGATTTTTCTTTTCAGTCTTTTCATTGATACTTGTCTCCGATCCCGATGTCTGTGACAACAATAAAGAAAATAATTTTAAACCGACTGATATAATGGATCCTTTTAAACATATGATGCCGTTATTTATATACCTGAAGAGAAAGGTCCATGGAAATATTTGGGTCATCCATGCTAGCTGATTTAGTCAATTTGGTCGTTATCTTTTTTATTATACCTTTACTGTGCTTCTTTTCTCGCTCCAACATCTCGCTCTTAGTAGAACCAGTAGAGAGGCGACTAGAAATTCAATTACAATTAATCTTATTTTTTTTCGGTCATTGAATGTTCAACTCGTGCAACTTTAATATTCAGATGTTCTACTGTATATTGCTATCGAACAAAGTTATTGTCAATAACTTTATTATTTGGTAACTCAAAATTATTATTATTATTATTATTATGTGAAAGTGATCATCAAATTACCTGTCAACACTGGAATCTCTCTGCAAACTTAGAGCTCGTCCTTCAGCATCCGAACTTTCTAATGATTGCAAACTGGACATGTTGCTATCAGTGCCCCAAATGCGTGACTGCACAATTATGAATAAATAAATAATAGTATTTTTTCTATTATACTTATTGTCAAAAGCTTAATAGTTTCACAATAATGACGTACTTCTTCATTTCGTGCTGATGTCTGTTCCAAAGATAGACTCTTTCTTTTTAAACGTGGTTTCGAACGAGATGTTGTTATACCTTTACCCGGATCACTTTCCACAGATGTTGATCTATAAAATTGAGTTCTTTAATATTAGGTTCTTTAATTGAATAAAACGAATAAATACCTCTTGCCAAGTTTTTTCAATCGTGTTGTGTTTATTTCGTCCGCTGCTTTCTTCGATTCTTTCAACTCTTTCGCCACGTCCATTAACTTTTTAACAGTGTATTCTAACTTTTCTGTTCTTTCACCAAGTTGAGAATTTGAACCTACCAATAAATTTCACATTGCCATCTGATTTCAATTAAACTATTTAATAACATTAATCATACCCCTTATGTCGCTTCTCGAATCCGACAATGGCGACGATTCTCTCGATTTTGGCCCCTATATTATAAAAATAATTTGTCACATTGATTTAGTTTATTTAATTTCCTTTTTTTTTTTTTTTTTTTTTAGTGATTTTGTAATTTAATATACTTTTAATCGTCTCGGTGGAGTCGGTGTGTAAGTATTTGCAGTGCCATTTTCTGCTATCCCGTTCAACTCGGGGAACAGTTTCATTAAGTCATTAACTTGTTGCATCAGTACATTGAGATTTCGCATTTCGATCTGCTCCTGTTTGTATTTCTTTAAAATCACATCTTTGAGTTCTTCCCTCTCCTTCTCGTGACGTTCCTTTTCGCGTCTCATTTTCTCGTTGCTAGTCCTTAATTTCGCATGAGCGTCCCTTAATTCAAGCAAATCGCATTGTAACTGTAAAAATGATTTTCAAACTGAGAGAGAGAGAGAGAGAGAGAGAATGAAAATTCGAAGTTTTATATTTCATATCTTTACCTCCAACAATTTTTTCTTGCTCTCTTCCTTCTCTTCGTCGTACACCTTTTTCAATTGGTCTTGTCGTCTCTTATTTTCCAGTCGTTCCTTGGAACGTTCTCTTTCAAGCTACAAAAACGATGCTTGTTTTAGTCTCCCTTACGCTAACGATACTAATTTTAATTTAACATGTACTTCAAATAAAGTTTGTCGCAAATCCCTCGCCAGCGTAGCAGTCTCCTGCAGTAGCCTCTGATGCTCTTCCCTCTCTTTTTGCCACGCTAACTCCATACGAACTTTCAGTCCTGGGATTTTTGTTCTGCCACTAGTGAGCACTTTCTCTTCTTCGAGCTACGCCATGCAAGATAAAAATAAACAGCGAGCAAATCTATTATATTTCGAATTATGCCAACAAACTGGTTGGACAAGATACCTCGTTAATTCGCGATTGCAATTCAGATACTTTAACGTGACTCGCCGACTTTTCAGACACCAACTCGGCTTTCAATCTAGATGTTTCTAGTCTTGTTTCAGAAAGCTCGTCTTCCAAGCTGTTGATTTGCCTTTCTAGAACCAATTTACTCGCGCCAGACACTTCCTCTTCCTACAAAAAAAAAAAAAAAAGAAATAAATGAATATTTTACATAGAATGTAAAAATTACTATCATATTAGGATGAAAACAGTTTTAGAGGAATGAATGGAATAAGATAAAAAATAACGAACCTCGTCAGACTTCCCAGAAGATGCATTCGACTGTCTGCCTTTAGCAGACTTTAACTCTGCGATAGTTTTCTGTGCACCTTCTAACATATGTTTGTACGTGTCGCGCTCGCGTTTGTACCTGGACAATTGATTTTGAATGGCTTGAATTTCATCGTTGATAGCAGCAATTCTATGCTCGTAACGCATTTTGCATTGAGCTAAATCAGCTTTCTTCGCTTTTTCCATGTTCTCAAGGGCGTTCTTCAATTTTCGTATCTCTGACTCCAGAGCCGTGGTGTCTGGCGTCAGAACTTGATGAATCTTTGACACTGCTTCGTAATCTTTCAATTTGTCAGAAAGGTCGTCATTCTGCAAAGTACGTATTTTAAAATAATACTTGTTACCAGATTAATAAATACTAATTCGTGTAATTTCGAATTTTTATAAACGCAATTAAAGAAATATAATCCTGTCAAACGTTCTACCAAGCAACTCTATTTTTTATATACCATATATCATCGCATGTTGCGTGCATTTTCTGCATTTTTGTATTTCTATAAAATTACATAAAAATTCGCAGTTTGCTCGTCACACAATTACGCCTTGAAATATATGTATAATTTAATTTTCTCACCGCTTTTCTTAAATCTTCCAATCGTGTTACTAACGTATTGTTTTCTTTTTTCAGATTGTTTATGTCATTGTTCAAATCTGTTATCAAAATTTTGTTTGGCATTTCGCTCTCCCGCAGACGATTCTGGAATTGATAATTTATTTTTTTTTATGATTGACTGATTAAAGAACACTTGAATACTGTTCAGAATAAATTTTTGAATATAATATTTAATCGATGCTCACTTCTAGAGCTGACTTTTCCGATCGCCATTCGCTTTCTTTTAGTTTCGTTGACTGTCGCATTGATTCCAATTCTTTGCGAATACCCATCAGTTCTGTACTTTGTTCTCGCAATTTACTACAAATAGGCATGATGTAAAACTAATTTAAAGTATTTAAACATATTTAAACTACACTGTTTCATTTAAAGTATTTAAAAATATTTAAACTACACTGTTTCATTGTAATGAAGCACACCAGTATTACCTATTGAGAATTTCGTTATCCGATTCATATTGCTTTCTTAAATTTGTCAATTCCTTGAACTTCTCGTTTAAATTGTCGTACTCTATCTGCCCTTTCTTCAGTTCGTTTTCCAAATCTGAAATGTAAGACACTGTTATTTTACGTAAGCTTCCCTGACATTTTTCACACTACCATAGTAAAGTGCAACTTACTTAAAATCTTTTCATTGTACGTGTGTCTCATTTCATTCATGCGTTTTGTATTCATTCCTGTTTTCTCCAACGTGCTAATCTTCTTTTTTAGGGTTGCAAGTTCACTCTCCTTCGATTCTTTTTCCTGATCGATCTGTGACAATAATTTTTCCCTTTCTTTCTTCAATTCCGCGACCTCCGAGGTCAGGTCATTTATTTTCGTGGAATTGGACGTTTTTGTATTCTCCAATTCCTTCTTCAAGCGTTTTAATTCACTGTCAAGCTTAGTCTTTGTTTGTTCAACCTGCATTACGTCAACGTTTGTATCAATGGTGTCTTAATCGTGTCTTAAATGCAAAAGGATAGCTACCGATGTCATTGATTGTTTCATTTTTGATTCTCGTTCCGTATACGCTGACAAGTCATCCTGCAGCTTCTTGGACTTATCTCGTTCCTGAAGCAATTCTTTCTTCAAATCGCTTATCGTTTTCTCCAACTTTACACCATCGTTTTCCAACGTCTTTGCTGTTTCTACGTAGTAGAAACAAAATAGAAAGGGAAAAGATCAATTAAGAAATTAATTATTGTCTGTAAAGAAAAAAATTCACTATCTTTCGAATTGAAAGAAAAGTTTTTTTTTTTTATAACAATTTCGTTACCCAGATCCTTCTTCAGTTGTACAGTCTCATTGTACACTTTGAGTTTCTCCGCGGATAGAGAGAGGAGCTTCGACTTCAACTTGTCTTTCTCCTCAAGCAGTGCTGTTTTCTCCTGATCCCATGCTTTCCTTTCGTTTTCTCTCAATGTCACTACCTCCTCCAGTTTCTTTTTCACTGAAGCATTTCATATCGGAATAGATCTATTATGACTTGCCTATCGCGTAAAAGCTTGTTGAAAAAAAAAAAAAAAATATAAAATGCTCACTGTTCTGCAAGTCTGTACTTTTTTCTTCTATCTTAACATTCGATTTCTTTTTCTCTTTCTCATCCGATAATTCTTTCATAACAGAATCGAGCTTCTCCTTAAGTAATTCGTGCTCCTTTGAAAGTTTGTCGTATTTCGCGTGGTTGTCCTTGAGTTTCATATCCTGGATGTTTACATCTTTCCCGTCAGAGATATTCGTGAAGACAATCATCATATCTCCTAAAGAATGCATTCTGTTTATTTAATTTTGCAATTTTGTAATCAAAAATCTTTCTCCATTTATTTATGTTCTACATTATTACATAGATGCTGAAGCTTTTAATATAGTATTAGTACTACTGTATAGTAGTATATAGTATATATACTGTATAATAGTATATACTGTACAGTTTAATATAGTATATACAGTAGTTAGTACTATAACATACAGTAGTACTTTAATATAGTATATACAGTAGTAGTAATACAGTAGTACTATAGTTTAATATAGTACTACTAGCTTTTAATATAGTATTAGTACTATAATAGTATAATAGTACATAGTACTAGTACAATAATAATTTAATATAATATTACGTGAATTAATACTTAATATCTTCGTAAAATTTCAATAACAAAGAAGTGATACCATATGACGAACCTATTTCTTTTTCCATCTCCTCCACCATCTTTTTCAACTGTACTTTAGTCGTAAATTCAGTTGCCTTTTTCAGAGGCCTGTTTTGAAACTCCCCTTTAATCTTTTGCAACGTTTCCTCGACCTTCTTCGTCTGAAACAAAATACACCTGTTATTCCCATTACCTTTGCTTCGAGTTTTACAAGGGAACTTGCCTCGTCATATTTTTTCTCCAAATTAGTCTTCTCAGTTTCTAGCTCCTCCACCTTCCGCTCGACTTTCCGCAGCTTAAACGACAGGATTCGACAATTCTTATTCGACTGTTCCAAACTTTTTCGCAAACGAACGTGCTCGTCCGCTTGCTCATCCCTTAACAAACAGGAAACGTTCTTTTAAAGTCTCTCTCTCTGCGATGAAATTTCTATCTGAAGATTGTGGTACATTGGAACTGGATAAAGTTGATTCAGTTGTAAGGAAGTTTATCAATTTTAATTGATTGATTATTTCAAAGAATATTTAATTATTTATTCAGTGATGTTACAATTTACATAACTTTTTGCGCTCTTTCATAGATTATCCAGTTCCACGAGATTCGGTCGTAATGTCATAATTACCTGAGTTAATTGGTCACGTACACATTTAATCAAACGGAAGCCGAAATGCCATTCAGGACGGGCGAAAGCAGGAGGAAGCGTTCACGCGATAAATATCGAGAGATCGAAAGGGTTCGACGACAGTATAACATTCCACATACTGCTCTCTATAATAATTAAACACGCCATTTCGTTTTTACGCTTTATGTCGTTCCTCTGATTTAAGATTGAATACTTGCGACTTGCGTTTGAAAAATCTCCCTTCGATCGCAAGGAATAGAAGGAGAGAAGAAATAAATTTTTGGACAATGGCGACTTTGTTTTGCCAAGCAATGAAATGTCCACGTTCGATCCAGCTTTCGGCAAACGACATATACGTGTTCACGTGTTGGAATCTTCCATCCAGATCGACGTCCTGCAACAATTCAGACAGCTCATTTTGCTAAACATTTTTTCCCTCTTCGTAGACACTACGTGGCAGAGGCGACAATTTTAATTAATTTCTTCCTTTCGTTTTTTCTTCTTCTTTTTTTTTCTATATGTTTTGCTTAAGTATCTCTCCTGAGTGTGAAAAAAATTCGATTTACTTCTCTGAGCATTTCATTCGACGTTTTATCTTGTTGATGACTCATCTTTTTTGAGATATTATTTATAAGAGTTGGATTTCTACAGTTTCTTTGTTCTAGCTGCTTCTGGTTCCCGTCGCAGTAAGTGGAAATCCACTGTTTTCGAGCCCCTTCAAGACGCATTCGTATCTGAACACGATTTCGTGCCTCTTCTCTGTTTCTTTTCCTTTTTTCTTTCTTTCTAATGAGATAACGATAATATTGCACGGAAATATCTGACGTTCAATCGTATCAATGTTTCGCGTTTATTAATACAAAAACAGACATATATGTTATTGATAAACACAGATAAAAATAAATCACAGGGGAGCGAGTTGTGGTTCGCTGTTTGTGATCAATCAACTTCAAAACTGGTTGGTTAATTAATTTGAGTTCAAACAAATCAGTTAGTAAAATGCGTTGGAGTTTTTCCTTTCCGTTGGAGTTTTCTGTGACGGTTACACTGTCCGGCAAATATCAACTCTTTTCTATAATAGATTTCCAATAGATTTTTGCCCCCTAATTACGAATTCGAAGTCCAGGCTTTAATTTTTGAAAAATTAAATTCTGAAAAGCAGAATAAATTTTCAGCTCTGAGCTTGGAAATGTACAATACTTAGTCAAGCATTTTTAGGTAATCGTTAAAATCTCGATTTTATGACAATCACGTTCCGGATATTTTTCAACCGAGTTCAAAGAGCAAAGATTTGCGATGTTTGCAATGTTTCAAAATTGAATTTATCGAAAATTAAAGGTGAACCGAATCTATCAAATCAAATTAATCAGAAATGATTATTTTCGCCGTAAGAAAAAATTTTCCGTGACGGGCAGTATCATTTTACGTTTCAAATATTAATTACGTTTCGCAATTTGATATTTTCTTTTTCAACTTTCAAGTTACGAATTGAACTGCGGTACATGTGAAATTACAGGGTGTTAAATCGAATTTTTTTTACTTGAAAATTTCTCTTCAAAGCTTGCGGAATTCTTTCCTCGAAGGCGACATGTCATAAAAATACGTTCCTCAGGCTTAAAATATGATAAAAAGAGAATTATTATACGAACTGAAAAGATAGCCACAAGTTGAAAACATGCACGTAAGAAAAAGTATACATATATTGAAAATTAGGGAACCTAATTTAGCCTTACCTAAAAGTATCTTGCAGTTCGTATATCTCCTCCTCCAGTTGTCGGATTTCTTTCTTCATGTCTTCGTTCTCATCCATCAAGTTCTCGCACAAGTTCTCCGCCGCCTTCAATTTCGAGCGTAGCTCGTCCTTTTCCCGATCTCGTTCTCCTCTGATTATTTTTGAGTTCACTTCTTTCTCCAACTCTCTGATCTTGGTCAATAAACTGTTCTTTTCTTGCACGAGCGCTGAATATAATCGACGCCATTATTTTTCAACTAATTTGATTATCCATCAATTCGAATAGTGATAATCTACTGTTTATGAAAAAAGAAAAATATACCCCGAAAAGCGCTAGTTCTCGATCGACGTGAAATTTTGAATATTTTTTAACAATTTTAGCTTCGATTTAGTATTCTTTTGCATTGCTCAATAAAAGAAGATTGCGATTGCGTTGTATATATTTTTGCCCCCTCAAAATTTTCACGTCGATCAGGAATTGGTACTTTCCCAAAACTACTGAAGCTCTGCGAAATTTTCTTGACATTCCTCGAATCTCTTTGGAAATTTTCATGTTTGTCACTCGTGTCTTTAGAGCCTGATACCTTCGTTTTTCTTCTGTAGCTTTTGTATTTCATTCGGCGAAGCCTTGCTCGATATGGTTTCCATGGTTGACAACCGCCTCATTAAGATCTCGCTCTTCTCCTTCTCCACTCTCTCGCATCGTGCTTGTAATTCTCTCACTTGTAGCCTTAACTGCTCGACCTCGGTCTAACAAGGTGAAAAAGAATTATATCGTTAGTCTTTCAATGGATTCCATTAATTCTTGATTAATTGTTCTGTTGATAATTATGCAGTTATCTAGAGCACTAGGATTATCATTGCTACAAGCGTGCCTACAAGTTGAAACAATTAGTAAGATTCACACGGGAACGAACGGGTCGATGGGGAGAAAAGATTGGAGACAGAATGAAGAATGCTGTGGTCTGATTACTTTTTCCGTCCATTCCTCGCTTTTTATTCGCCGTTCCCCATTCTTTTCGCTGCTTTTCGAACAGCCGACCTTCGACTTCTTCACCTGGATAGAAAAAGCAATGTACAACCAGACACAAATATACGTACTTCTTTTTTTTATCTTCGGGCATTTACAGGCAAATACATTCATAATTATAATAACACTGGATATGAACATGTATGAGATAGTTATTAAATTTACCGAGGCAAAGTTCGAGTTTGCTGTCAGAAATATTGAATGTGGTGTGATGAATAATTCCAAACAATTCGAATACAATTAAAAATTATTCTTGTGGAAAGAATCTAGAATTTATTGCTTGTACATCATCAGTTTGCTGGAGATCAATTGCATGATTAACAGAAGCAAATTTTTCAAAGGTTTCAAATTGAAAAAAATATCATTTCAATGGGAAATTTCTTCCTTTCGTAATTCAATCAATCTTCTCTGACTTTTTAGGATATGTATACATATCGTTAGGATATATTACGTATATTGTTGAAACGTAACTTTAGAAATATTTCATTTATATACACTACAGATGTGTTAAAAGTATAAAATATTTCAGACGTGTCACCTATCTATCTAGCAAATCGATGACATACACGTAGTAAATAACCAATATAACATGGAACGGTAATTTCAAGCTAATGCAAATGCTTAAACATAGACATTCAAGTAAATTCATGTATACATATATTAACAAATATCTCAGTTATAAAATAGGAGTTACAACATTGCGACAAGCAACAGTTAAAATTCTCATATCTCTCACGACGATCTTTGGTTTCGTTTTTCTTTTCTTTTTTTCTTTTTACCTGGATTATAAACTCGACATCATTCTCCGAAGCGCTCTCGTTGCTGTTATCAATGACTTCTTTGATCTGTAACTTCGTTGGCCTCCTATCTGCGAGTAAAGGAATGAATTCGACAACAAAGGAAAAATACGCTTATCGACGATCATAATGGAAAGTGACATTCTTTCTTTTCGTAATGCACCTTACCTTCCAATCTCTCTTCTTCGTTGTCGATAGCGGAGAGATCCATGAGCGAAGTCCAACCAGTCGCCGCGTACGACGACTCGGAACTTCCTCTAAAATCATCCTTTGCCAAGTTCGTTGCCGAGGACCAACCACGCTTCCCATTTTCGGCAGATCTATAAATTGGGAACTGTTTTAAAAAGTTATCCTTCGACTTTAGTAATACATTGGAATACAAAGGATTATATATTTTGTATATATTAATTAATATAAAGGATTATAAGTCATAGGTTCTCGGATTCTCTCGGGATAGCTCGCAGCTCAATTTTTTTAAATTCTGTCATCAAAAGTTAGTCAGTCACTGTAGTTTCGAATCTTTCCCTGTTAAATTGAGTTTCCTTTGGCACGAGACGTTAATTTCTCGACTTCTGATAAAAGATACTAGTGTGTCTGAGGATTCTTTGGTTTGGTTATCGAAGCTCTACAATTTTAAAATAATACCATGTGATATAATATAGTTAAATTTTATACTGGCCACGGCTCGAATTCTACTGCGTACTCATTCACTGGTGGATTCAATTGTTGTTACAGATGGACAACAACGTTTCCATTAGTGCATTGCACGAAATGCGAAAAATGTTAGAAAACGAAAAGAATTTGTCTTTTATTTAATTAAAAAGATTTGTCTCCTAGAGATCTAAAATTGAAATCTAAAATAATATAATTTATAATAATATAATTGAAATCTAAAATAATATAGTCTGTAATAATATAATTGAAATCTCAAAATAATATTTAGAAAAAGGAATTGCACAACGTAAGAGATAAACCGACTTGAACGTATTTTGATTGTTAATGACTCGCTTATATCGCGGTTGTTTAAGATATGACTAATTTGTGATTCTAGGTTAACAAATGCAGAATGAACTCGAAGCTCAAAGTTAGACAGTGACCTTTGTATCCTTCGAATTCCGAAAATGTTCAATCATGATTACGGTGAGTAATTTCAATGATCACGATTGCTTTTCGTTTCATTTCTTTCCTTTTTATACATTGCACTCTGTACATTACATATACGTATGTGTATATATTTTATAATGTTATGTAATTTCATTTGTTTCTTGTGTCAATTTGACATATTTCTCTTACAAGATGTCACATTGTAGAAGTATCTTTAATATATATATATGTACTGTACATAGATACTCAATATTTTTTAATATATAACATACAATATATATCTTCGAAATTTTCGACAATAAAATATAATAAATGTTGTCGGTGTTGCAAATAATATCTATTCGTTTTCAAATCCCTCGACAGGCAATTACCTTCAAATTATTTAATTAGATATTTAATTATCTTATTATTATTTATATTATTTCTTTTTCTTCTAATTATTATTACGTTACATCACATATTATTATTATTATTATAATACAATATAATGCACCACTTTCTCGAAGATGCGTATAGGGTACTTATAGTTTTGAAACATAATTGTAGCAAGTCCGAAGCAAATGATCACGACGTTAGATGAAATTACGATAATAAAAGTAATTTATACGTGAAAGTATAATAATACTTTACATACATAAATATCCTTGCGAATCTTACACGTGACTGAATATTTATCATCGAGAAAAAAAGTTTGCAATTATTAATTTAACATTATTTAATAGTTTATTTATTGTATCAATTTGCTCGAGAAGACTTAAATTGTCTCTATTTATTTTAATTACAATAAACATGTATAAATATATCCTGTAGTTTCACGTGTAAAATGCAATAACGTAGTTAAAAAAATTTATACATATTTAATGCGATTTGTCTTAGTATATTTCCTTTGCAAAAATAAAAACGTGAATATTTTCTTTGCATAAGTTATTCGCAGTTTTGCATACGTTTATCATGAATGCATAAAAACTCGCTTACTTACCGGCCTGAAGATTGGTCGTACGATAAACTTGGAGACGATGATGCGATATCCCTCAAACTATCTTTCTTCCCTCCGTGTTCCTTGTAATCTCTAAACACGTTTTTTTTTTCCCCCTTTAGTTTTACTATTATTCCTCCTTGTTACTCTTTTTATTAGTTTATGCTCTTATCTCTATCTGTTTCTACACAATATAATAAAAATAATACCTGAAGCATCTTTTGCAACGGGTCGGCCATCGCACTTGCGGATGGAAACCAAGGGGACAGAGAGGATCTCCTTTCTTCGAGGAATACATGTGGTGCATTCTACGCATGAAAATAAGATATATGCAAACGTAATGGAACACATCCTCTTTCGAACGTGTCGTTAAATGCAGCAGTTTCCTGTTATACACGTATAAATATTGCGGATGCTTTCGCGTGTCATACTTCGCTGAATACGTTAAGTATTGCGCGTATCACGTGCAACATGTGAATTAAATTGACGTTTGGCAACGGTGGTCAGTTCATATGTTGCAAGGTCTTCACTTATGATAGGTGCATGCTCGTAAAAAATGGTCGTTCGATGAAACAAAACTACTTCCGTTCATCCAGGAAGGACGTCATAGTTAGTAGTATTATGGCGTTAGAAACGATTCGAATCTTTTTTAATTTGACATTTTGAAATTTTTTTTAAGGTGTTTAACCTTATTTAACCTTGATTTAATTTCAAAAATCAACACCAATTTGGTATTTAACCAATAGGTGTTGATTTTTGAAATTTGGCGCAACGATTGCAAAAAGTGTCCATCAGATTTGTTATTATTTATGAATTAATTGGTACCAAATATCATTAGTTATATCATTTAGCAGTATCATAGACTATAAAAATTAAATGCAAAAGTTTGTTTAAAAATGTGTAATTATATGTAAATGCTCTTTGCAATCATTGTAAATCTGTCTTTAAAGTTTTGTTAAATCTTGAAGTTTGTTAACTCTTGAAACTAGGATCCAAAGTTTGATAAGATTATTATTATAAGATTGCACGTACAACGTATATGCTATACCACAATTTTCCAATGGACTCTAATGTTGTCTGACAAAGGAATATTTCGAACAAAATTTGATCTATTGTTTTTTTCAAGTTTGAAATCTTCCTTTCTTCCATCATAAAACTTAAGGTATGATTTTCCTTGGCCGATTTAATCAACTTTGAATGAAAAGTGTACCACGGCGTCGGCATTTGAACAAGTATACTGCATATTTGGAGGAAGTTGCACAATTAGATTTGCATCTCATGCATATATATATATATATATGTTCAGTGTGTGTTTAGTGAGTGTATGCGAGTACGAGCGTGTTAAAATTTCACTTGTGCGTCCATTTCTGCTCTCCGCTGTATAACACAATATTCGTACGCGCGAAATAAAAGTTTAAAATAAAAAGTTTCCAAAGTGCATCACCATCAATCACAGCAGTTCATTATAAATTACGTACGAAACAACCGATGGATCTGAACTTTGATAGCATGCTTCTTATAAATAGATACAAATTATTAGTTTCAGCATAACGTATGACACATATATATATATATATATATATATATATATATATATATATATATACGTAAAAAAATGTGTAAGAAGAATTTGTTTTCCATTCACACAAAATGACGATCATAGTTAATGTAAGTATGAGACAGCGGCTCAGAACGACAAAATAACACGACGCGTGCATCCTGATAAAATGCATCATACCACCGTAAACGAGCGAAAACTAGAGAAAATTGGTAATCAAAAATGATTTCCGGCAGAGGCATATCTCGTATGCGAGCGTCACATGGGTCGCAAGATACGTCCCGGCGTGTGTTTCAAGATTCTAACGTGTAAACAGCTTGTTCAATGGACAATCGATACTGACGGGAGTAGAGTTTACCTAAAAAATGAAACCTTGAATTAATAAGGCTGAAACCTTATAATAAAGGAATTGAGATGTTTCGCAAGCGGAGAAGACGAGACTCGACTCGGGGCGAGGCGAGGCGAGGCTTGGCTTTCGACGGATCGTGAAATACTTGGCAAAGTATAAATGAAATTCAGCTCGGAACACGGCTTTATAGATAGTTATAACTGTGTGTTTCGGAAACCTTGATGGGAACAGATACATGCCTGTGTATCGATGTGACTCTAAATCGTTATCCATCGATGGCAATATTTTCAGATTATCAGAATCTGAAGTTTGTTGAGAAAAAAACTAGAAACTAGTTCTTTTCTTCGTTCATCAATTATACGTGTATTTCAATGTGTTTCAAAAATAAAAAAAAAAAAAAAAAAATCGCGAGGTGAGCGCACACTTACAGAATGTAGGTACATACGTGATGTAAAGAAAATTCTGAGAAAATTATTTACTATATACTTCAATAGAGTTTACATTTCTAATTAAATACACGACTCAAGCAGAAAGAGGATAAGATTTGCATAATATTCTTTTTGCAACGAGATGTTAAGTAGTATTTCGTAGAAGCCATTCGAAGAAGGTTCGAAAGAAGAAATTCATCGTTATAGAGAAACAAGAAACTATCAGAAATATTTCATTTTCTGAGTCTTTCAAGTACTTCTATTTTCTAGACGAATGTGTTTAATAAACAATGAAAAAGTTATCAAAACAGATAACATAATGAAAAACAAGCTTCAACTTGTTCAACTGAAATGAAAATATATTACGAGCGTATCTTTTCTTTATCACGTATCTAACTGATCTTTAGATCATAAACAAATTTTTTCAAAATCACTGATTTAAAATAATTCGATTATTGATAATAATCGCGTATAAATTTCCTTCGATTTGAATGTGAATTCCAGTGAATTTGAATTCATAAAAAATTAATTTGACTAAATCTTCGTAATATAATCGTTGCATTATAACGTCAGACTACAACGTTTCTGACCCCAACGACCTAACTTTCTCCCAGAAACGTGTCGCTTTTAAGTTCCACGTTGGAACTCGCCAACTGCGTTTTAACGCGCAAGAAACGATTGTTTTTTCCTCGCAAATGTGTAAAGGCATATCCAGCCATTCTGAGTCATAATTGGTAAAAAAATTTCGCCTCTCCGACGGTGACGATCGAGCACACGTGAAAACGAACATTTTTTTTTTCGAACTTGGCTCGATCTTACGCAATTCCATATCGATCGCGTACTTACTTGATCGACGTTCACCCAAATACAGCCAGCGGGTGCGATTAAATTTGTCGCAGGCGTCGTTAAGAATACTCGAGCCCTCTGTTCACGAGCGCACCTTCCATTTCGAGGATACGACATAAGGGAAATCCCTTCTAGTTCTCTAGACGAACGAAATCGGCCAGCAGCAGCGCATAATACGTGAAGTAATCTCGACGTCTAATCTTATCACTAGGCGTAACGAATGCACTTGTTCAAAGTGTCTCTTAAATTTCGCGGTACGTTTTACATGTTTCGATTGTTCTTCACTTGCACACTTATTTTTTTTTTTTCCTTCTTTCTTCTTCCCCTCTATCTCTCTCTCTTTCTCTCTAAATAAGTACTTGCAACGATCACAGACGTCGACAGACGTCACTAATACCGCTGATACGGTGCTGCTATTACGGGGGTTAGGCCCTAACTCGCCTCAGACCCGCACGTATATGATCTGGACCGATGCCAAAATGTATATTTATCTCTAGCTATAAATATAGTGCGCTCTACAGGTATTTCGTGCACACGTACGCGTGCACGCAGGGCTGAAGATACGTAAGTGCGACATCACTAAGAGTGATGTCGCATCTGACCAGTAAACAAAAAAAGATTCCTATAAACCGGGTTTTCTTGCACAATTATAAACTAGCAACTTTACAAACTTTTTCACAAGAGTTACAAACTCGTAGTCATTTATTTCTTTTAAAGATTCTGATGAGTTATAGCTTTAAAAATCAATTATACATGACAGTACATGCATTATTAATACGATGTATTTTAATATTTCATTACGTTTAAATGTTGTTGACACGTTAATGGAAAAATATTGTGATAAAATAATTTTAACAATTGCAATCTTGGTATAAATTTTAACAATTGCAATCTTGGTATAAATTTTAACAATTGCAATCTTGGTATAAATTTTAACAATTGCAATCTACGATATTTTCGTAGTTGATAAGCAAACCGATAATACTGTAAAAATTGTAAAAAAGATGTTAGATGTTTAAATTATGTTAAATTATGCATGGTGGATTATACTTTCAAATGTTTTCATTTATTATTCTTTTTATGAATATAAATTTGAATTGCTTATAATAGTATAAGTGATTTTTCATTTAAAAACTGATTACATCAGCATACATGATATCTCGCATGTGATATGAAGAGTTAATATTCCACATTTGTGAGGATAATAACTTTCATTACTTTTCAATAGCAAACCGGTTTCGCGTAAAATGGGATAAACAAGTTTAGAAACGAAGAAGAAATTATTATCGCAATTCATGGAGTTAATGAACTAGAATATCATTTTAATAAAATATATTATAATTTATTGATTCAATATATTTTATAATAAAAAAAGTAAATGTCATTGATAAAATTCAAAACCCTGCACCCCCACAAAATTCTCTCATAAATTCTTTCATTTTATATATTTTTCATTATATTTTGTTCCTGAATTTATGTTATTATTTGTAATAATGTTTTCTATCATTTATAATAAATAGTATAAAAATAGCAATAGTATAAAAATTTTCTATCAATTTATATAACAATAGAAACATATAACGTTTTTTTTTTTTTTTTTTTAAAAAAAAAAAAGAATACAAAATATAATAATATGTATGTAATAATTAACATCTACTTGTACACAACAAATTTGGAATAAAACTGCTAATTTGGCTTAGGATCAATATAATTATTCCTGAGAAATAATCGTGAATTATTTTGGACTATAAATTGAATTAAAAGCTTGATAAGGTAGATAAAAAATATTTCGTACTTAGTATCGAGTAAAAAAGTTATTGATTGTTGTTATTTTTTTGTGATTTATTTATTCACTTTTTCTTATTAAATATAATTTTTTTAAAATGAGATAACATTTATAAAAATAGAATTTTAAAACGAAATAGTAGCTATTGATATATCTCATATAAAAATTTTTTCTTTTTATCATGTAATAACGATATTATCTTTTAAGTTATTCAATTTTGTGTATATGTACACAACATCAATTAAGAAATATATATTAAATTATATGATTCTAGATAGTGGAATGAATGTACATACTTTGAATAAGTATCCTTTTAAATTACAATATTTTGGTTGCAACGTACGTATTAATTACGTAACATACAATCTTTTGATTTCTGGAATCATATTTATATTATATTTAATATCGAAATATAATTTTCATTCATTGAAAGACTTAGAGATCTTTGTTCTTTATAATCTAGAACGCAGGATTTCGATCTTTTTGCCAGCGCGCTTTTGTAACTCAATTAATTTCATTGCCATTCCCATGTTACCTTGAATCTTAATTTTTCCTTGAAAAAATGCTTTTTGTGGATGCAGTTTGCCAGAAATAAAATCAACGATGTCCGTGTCGCTTATCATGATTACAACGTCGGGTTTAGTTTTTCCATCATATTCTACTTTTCCTTTCCCTGTTTTAGTATCTACGATCCAATAGGCTTCCGCACCTCCAGGACCATTAATTATTTTAAATCCGAACACTCCACGAACTTTTTCAATCAAATTTTCTTCATCCTCTTGCATTGCAATTTCTAATAGTTTAAACAACGGAGTCGCTTTGAACTGATCCGGAGCAGACGATCCACTTAGATTTTTCTTAATTACCGACGATTGAGAGAACCCCATACGATACAGAGCAACAATAGCTGCTCCACCTAATCCTATATTATGTTGTAGAGCAAGTTTCGCGTTTGGCACTTGCCGTTTCTCAGCCTTTCCTCGAAGTTGCCAACAAAGTTCAGCACACTGAGCCAATCCTGTTGCTCCCAAAGGATGTCCCTTTGAGATCAAACCTCCACTAGGATTTATTACATACTTCCCTCCATATGTATTGTCTCCAGCATCAACTAATTTTCCACCATGTCCTGGAGGACAAAGTCCTAATGCTTCATAAGTTAGAAGTTCATTAGTAGAAAAGCAATCGTGCAATTCTATAACATCCACATCAGATGGTTTGTAAGAAGTTTGAGTGAACACCTTTTCAGCAGCATGTTTCGTCATATCGTAGCTATAAAATAGACAAATAATATTTTTATTATTTGTTATTTGTTTCTCTCAATGTTGCATTATATCAAGATATAAACTTGAGTTTCTCACCCAACAAGTTTAATACAACTCTTCTCTGCGAATGTTGAAACTGGATCTGTGGCCATTTCCATCGCCACAATTTCTACTGCTTGAGATTCAAGTCTATGTTTACGAACAAAGTCTTCATTAGCCAAAACCACAGCTGCTGAACCATCGGATGTTGGGCAACACTGAAGCTTAGTAAGCGGTCCGAATACTTTTGGAGATTTCATTATTTGCTCCAACGTGTATTTCTCTTGGAACTGCGAGTATGGATTGTTTAGGGAGTGTAAATGATTCTTATAAGCAATTTTTACAAAGTGCTCAACTTTGGTGCCATATTTTTTCATGTGTTCAAGTCCAGCATTTCCAAACATTTGGGCAGTGACTGGACTCTCATTTATGCCTGAGAATAAAAATATAAATAAGCAGCAAAAAAAAGATTAAAATTTACGAAATACAGATTTTTTTGTATAACAAGTAGCTCATTAATAACTTATAAGGATTCACCAGCAATATTGGCCATGAGTTCCACATGTTTGTCCATTGGATTAGTACGATCCAAGAATTTAGATACTAGAGAACCTTTCTCCATTTTTTCAAAACCAAGGGCCAACGTGCAATCAGCAGAGCCAGACTCGATTATTTGTTTAGCCATTATTAAAGCTGTTGAACCAGTGGCACAATTATTATTTACATTGTATATAGGACAACCAGTAAGACCAGCTTGATATAATGCTCGTTGTCCACAGGTGGAATCTCCGTAAACGTATCCTACACAGGCTGCTTTCACCTCATTATAAGAAACTTTTGCATCCTGCAAAGCTTTCGCAACTGCTTCTTTCGCCATGTCCGGATAGTCGAAATCATCCCGTTTACCCGGTTTCTCGAATTTTGTCATACCGACACCAACAACATAAACCTTCGTTTTCGGTGACATTTCGGAATGCTTTTCAAAAATAAACTGGACAAAATCTAGAATTCCAATAAGAGATAATAAATTTAATCACTCACAGTCACAGCTGCTTAAAGCTGATATCACTTCCCAATTGAACTTTACTCCTAACTTTTAATTATCTAATCACGGAAGAGGAAGAGAAATAAAAACAAATTACCGAATGATACAGCCACTTTTCTTATATATGAATCACACTCGATTGCCAAGTGTTGAATGATCAGGAAGAACTAATCGTTTTGTAGAAGAGGAAAGGCAAAAAGTCCTCCCCACTTTATTACCATCGCGCAACGCAGGTGGAACATTTAACCAATAAACGTGCTTACTTTTAGGACTGCATTGGATCCATCAGAAATAACCAACCAGATTTACATTCCTTTCAAAAAACTTCTTTCTACCTCTGTAACTCATTGTCACTACCCAAGTTACAAACTTTCAACTTGAGATGTCGCTTCATAAGTGTCATCGAGTTCATTCTTTTTTTTTTTTCTTTTTTTTTTTTATATATAGAGTTAATCTGCAAATAGAGCTTGCGATTCAAATCGAATTGAAATCATTAATCCAATTGACAACAAATTTTGAATAAACTCAGCATTAAGATGATATGTGTTCGATAATCGAGTTCAAATCTGAGAAAAGATAAATACTTTTAAATATTAAATATCTTCAGATGTTATTCATGAATAAATTAAGATAATGGAATGAATAAAACTGGCATTTAAAACTATTTTTATTTTTGTATTTTATTGGCTAGCTTAGATTTTGTTCATTCAGAGATCGTTATAACATTATTGAAATGCATAAAAGTAGATTGTAAATATGTACTTGTTTATTATTCGTATTATACGGAACAATTGAATAATAGAAACTATTACCTGGAAAACGCATTACAAAGTACACACAGATTAATCAACAAGTTCAAAACGTGGTACATCCTTGCGAGAGAGTGCTCTTCCTGAATTTAACCTCGAGCTATATCGGGTGATACCGAAATCGAAAGGAAACTGATTTCTTGCACAAAAGTTATTAATATAAAATAAAGTTCAATTGGAAATGATATAATAAAATAAGATGAAAATAATATGAAACGTTTCTTTTTGAGAGACATGAATTCATAAATTCTCCAAATAACCTAAATTTAGATATGATCTTCGCTTAACTAATTCGGTTCGCCGCTATTTCTCTCTCGTTTTTTCATGATTAACAAACAATGTTGATAATATAAACAATCATGATTTGATAAATAATAATGTGGTAAGAGTTTTAATAATTTATTAACATTTTCATAGTTAAAAATATAATCTCAAAGCTATAGCATTTGATATTGTAGATGCAAATTGCAGATGAATTAAAGAAGTATGAGCCATGTAATATTGCGATTTAAAGCTATAACATCGAGCGCGACATTTCTAAGTTATTAAAATTAAAATTAATACGCAACCTTGCTTATTTAAGATTAGCTCGAATCCTGACTTGAGCGGTTTGTAAACTTAGAAACAACGACCCAAATTAGATGAACTACCCAAATTCTTTTTACTTATTGTTAGACGCACCTGCTTAACCAATATTCAACATTTCCAATATCGTTCCAATATTTTCAGGTTATATTTTATACAAAAAAATACCTTTCCGATTACAAAGATTTTAAAACTACATTATAAGTATAGTCTCTCCTTCTAGTAGTAGTAATAACATACACATGTATAAGTAAATGCATATTAGACTAAAATATTATTTAAAAAATTTCGTAAAAAATCGTGTAAATATCCCAAATTTCATCACACGTGACAGAACGGGATTTTGTGTACCACCGAGATATTTACTTCCAAATGGAAAGAAAATACTGACGACGTTGAATGATTCTGTACACGACGATCATCCGTGGAAGATTCGGTATAAACAAAGTGTGTTTACATTCGAGAAAAGATGAGCATTCGGATCTATGCGTTTCGCGATCTTTGCTTCGCTTTTAGGAAAAGTAAGCTCACCAAGTTTGTCATTATTATTTCGATCACTATTACTACTGCTATTGTCGTTATAATTATTATCTCAATTGCTGTTTATTTTGGTGTTACCCTATATACTGGAAAATCGCGCCGGCCATTGCGCGCTCGTGTTTTGGTTCCAAAAAGATGGCGGACTCTTGTTTTCAAGATCGGTCGGACAGAAATATGATAGCTTTGAAATAACCAGCGACAGTTGACATGTTGTGCGTGCAATAATACCGGGCGGATGAAATTGTCGTCGTGACGGATTCACTGGCGGGATTGGGGAAGTTTCCTCGAGGTTCATAGGTGACGTAAAAGCGGTGTCCTCAACGTATTGCGCGAGTTGCGAATCGAGTGATTTTTCCTGTAATTTCTGTTGTTTTCTGTGCGAAACAACGTCTCGAAGAACTACAGAACATTAACGTGGACAGGAAATGTAAGATGGTTTGAACCGAATGAACGTTCACAAGGTTTAATACCGACGATCGACACAGCAGCGATGCTTGGTTAGGTTGATTGGCTTGGATGGACATACCTATGATACCAGAACAACGTTCTACGTGTTCCTCTCGGTGGTTCACGTTAAAACGTAACATTGGATCAGTTTTGTAAACGCCACTGTAAATGAATTACACGAATCCATAATGGCATCAGCCGAATTTGATGTAGAGCTCTTTGAGCGAAGGCTTCACACATTAAAGGACTCGCAGGAGTCTATACAAGGCCTCTCTGCTTGGTGTTTGGAGAGGAGACAGCACCACAAAAAGATTGTTGCCACCTGGTTACAAGTTCTCAAAAAAGGTAAACTTGTTACTGCACTTTTTGTGTCAATAGTATTATATGCCATGATTTTAAATTTCATTTCTATTAACTTATATTTTAAGATTCAAATAACTTGTACTGTTGGTATTGAGTATCAGTATCAATTGGTATGATCTTAAAATGCTTTTAAATCTGCAGTGTAAAATATCCTAAAAAGCAATTAAAAATCTGAAGTGTAAAATATCTTAATTTTTTGTAGTAAAACGTGATAGAAAAACAATGTAGTAGTTTATTGTTTTGACATTGTTGTTTGTATTGTTGTTTTGACATTTGTGTTATATATAAGTATTCGAGTTCAATAAATTTTAAGATCATGCTTTCAAGTCATAGTTTAAATTGTATTTTCTCTTTTTTTTATTGATTTGCAACTTGTCAGATAACAATGATGTTTTCTTAAATAACAGTAAAAGTTGAGCATCGTCTTACGCTCTTTTATCTGGCAAATGATGTCATACAATATTCGAAGAGAAAGAATTTTGAATTTGTGGAATCGTGGGGTACAACTCTGCAACGAGCGACAACTATGGTTAGAGATGAAAAAGTGAAACATCGCATATTGAGGATCTTTAAGATTTGGGATCAGAGACAAGTATATGATGAAGAATTCCTGGCAGATCTGTCCGGATTAATTTCAGCAGCTCCAAAAAAGAAATTAGAGCCTCAGCCAACAGCACCGCCTGAAGAATTTCAAGCCGCTTTACTTATCTCTACTATGAGATCATGTGCCACGTTAGAACAAGCGACTGATGCACGATTAAGAGATTTACGTGAAAGTAATATAGATGTAGAGAATGCAGAAGAACTGTGTGCTTCATTAAAAGATAGAAGAAGAGTTGAAGATGCAGAAAAAGAAGTGGACCTGGCAGTTAGAAATGTTGAAAACTATGTACGCGCGTTGGAGGCAGAAATTAGAGAAAGGACACAAGTACTTGAGCTATTAGAACAAGCTGATCAATTTTATGAAACTCAAAGAGGTGAAGTGAAAATAGTTACTAATGTAAGTATATTGAAAAAAGTATACCATAACAGTATATTGTCCATAATTTCTATTAATGATTTTTTTAATATTTTTAAAAATCTTTCATTAATAGGCATACAGAAATTTTGGTAGTCGTGTAAAGAATTTGAAGAAGAAATTAGATGAACTTTTACCAACGTTAGTTTCACCAATTCCATCACCAGATATAAATGCTCCATCTCCAAGTCCTGATAGTGATATAGAACTTCCAGGAGAAGAAAATCAATCTCAAAATCAATTAGGAATTATAGATGTAGCACCGCCATCTATGTATGGTTCATATTCTCATGACTATGATCCGGTACCTGTACCAGCTCCAGAGATGGGTCAAGGCAATGATTCTGGTGATTTTACTAATAATTTTTCGTCTTTTATGGGAGGAAACGTGGATTTTGGTAATATGGTAAGATAGTTAAAAGAAAATATTAACTTCGACGAATATTGTTATAAATCATTTGTTTTTTTTTCATTTTAAAGCGAAACATATTTAATGAAAGGTCGTTAACGCCAACTGGAATGTCACAGCAGTATAATGAATCGATAGAGGTATATATTTAATTAAAATGAACATTTATTATTTGATAAAACATTATAAAAGTATTGCATATGCTTTACTAGGCTAAACCAATAGAGGTGATCAATATGAGGCCCTCCAAAAACGAAAGTAACAGCGCAGATTTTAATATCTCTAGTTTTTTAAAGACTGTTCTTCCTTCTTCCGATGGATCGCAAGATCCTGGTGGTATTCCTGGTCTTGGTCTAGATATTCCAGAGTCGCGAGTGGAGTCTCCGCAGCGTTCGAATTACAGACATTCACCTGTACTAGGGCAGCATTCAGTAACTCCCGTGATTTCAAGAATTATGAGTAATCAAAACACATCTATAGGTGTGAATAATTGTCCGATAACACACAGTACTCCATTACCTGTTCGGAATTTGTCCGGCGAGTCGCATACTCCTTCCCCGTATTCCAGTCAAAACAGTCAGAGTAATATTGCACCATTCGATGGTCCGAGTAATAATAATACTGTTAATCCCTTACCACCTCCACCATTACCTCCACCTATTTTCCTCGACGATGAAAATTGTTACAATAAGTTACCACCTAAATTTCCAACGTGGACGCCTCCGAGTGAAACTATGAAAGAACCAGCTAAATGGGAAGAAAAGGGTATGAATTTGTTTCGTAATGCAACACAGAATAATCTTGATATTAGCTTTATAAGTTTATAATATAGCAGGTTCTATAACATTTGCAGGAAAAAATAGTATGAATCCAACCTGGCCTGGGGAATGCGACGAGAAAACAAAAACGTGGATGGATGGTGACGTTGATAGGTGGGATTCTATTAACGATTCCACGTGGACTGGCAGTGGTAGAGGGAAGAATGAAATTCTATCTGAAACACCAGAATCACCACCTATGTATGAAAAAACTGGATTTACAGATCCAGTTGAATACGATGACTCTCAACCACAAGAATCTCTTCTAAATACCTCCGGAGATGTAGATCATAGGTGAAACATTTAATTGATAAAATTCATTTCATACACAATGAGTGTTCAAAAAAAAAAAAGATCAAACTTTTCAAATAATGCACGAAGTGACACAAATACTATTTCAAATGAGTAATGAAGTTTTTATAGTAAAAGTCTGGTCATTTTCTAAATATCCTTCATATGTTAGTAAGAAGAACTATATCCTTCATATGTTAGTAAAAAGAATTATATCTAATTAAACAATTAAATATTTTTCAGAGTAATACCTATCCCGATGACAGTGGAGAATCAATTGCCATATCGTTTAATGAAAGCAGCGGATGTCGATCACCGAAATTTAATTAGTTTAACAGGAAGTCCAGCGAATCATAATGCCAATGATACTATGAATACGATAACCAACAGTAACAACCTATGGTCTACAGGTGATCAAGATTACCGGTAAGATATTGAAATACTTACATCAGCTACTAGAATCTCGTAGGATTGGAATACAAATTTCAATTTTTACAATACGTAATAACTCTAATGCTTTGCAATACGAAATCAGGCAACATATGCAACCAGGCGATATCGTGGAAAGTGTCGATATGGAAATGTCAGACGACGAGACTGATAGTAAGCCAAAGGGGAGGGTATTGGTTGATGTACGATCGCAAGATAGAGACATGAGAGTTGGTAATCAATCGGCGACTTCACAGCACATGGACATGGACATGCGAATGATTCCACTTCCTGCCGGCCAAATGCCAGGATCGCATGGACAAATAATACAAGACGTGCACATGATGCATTCAGGACCTCCGCCACCTCCACCTCCACCACCGCAATTCCATCCAAGCCAACCGTCATTTCATCAAGATCAAACAGATTTTCGACACAATCCCGCTGAATTTCATCCAACTCAATCGAATTTTCATCAAAACAGGCCACCGCCGAACTTCATCCAAAACCAGCAAGACTTCCAACAGGAATTCCTTCAGCTACACCAAACGCAACCAGAATTTCCAAAGCAAGAATTCGAATACCGTGAGAATCATACGTTACGACCTAATCAAGAATTCACCGGCGAGCCACAGATGCGTGGCAGGTACTCTCAGTCCACGGAGCATCAGCACAGAGACGTTGGTTTTCATCGGAACGATCGAGGAAGCCGAGGTAACCGCGGCTTCGCGAGGAACCGGCGAGATAGATACTCGGATGACCATAAACAGAGGAATCTTCAAAACAATCGTAAGTCTCGATCGCAAGAACATCAAAGATCTTCACCCGAAATTCTGCCAAACAGTCGTCCTCTGTTGGTGCCTGCGCCAGACACTGTCGTCATTCTCGATGAGGAGGGTATGCCGATAGGACTGTCTAACGAAAAGGAAGCGCCAACGAACGCGGAACATCTTCCAGATACTGAGCAAGAAGAGAACTGTCAGGATCGTAGATTATCACATGGTACGCCAAGCTCACGGAATCTCGACCAACAGTCTGTATATTCAACTGGCTCGAATCTTCACGAACACGAGTCCGAGCCTCCAATTACGGATCCAGACGAGCAACAAGCAATGAATCAAGTGACCGTTATACCCATGATAACGGATTCTAAGGATTCGCAATACGCTTCTGTCGGTGAATACGAGCAACACGTTGAGTCTGAAGCCGTAATGTCGGAGAAAACCTGTGACAGCAGCGAGTCGATTGAAAACGCTGGCCAGGAAATTAGTTTTACTGAGCAGACGCAACAGCCAGATCAGTTGGACGACCTTGGCAATTTAATGTCAAGTAACGAATTGAAGAGACCGTCAACGAATGGCAGCTTCGATGAGAATGACGTTAGTTCTAGTAAAAGGATCGCTTTGTCCAACGGGCCACCGACACCGACAGAATCTGATTCCGGTTTGAATGGCCCGATACCGCAGGTCTCGGCGGAGTCATCGCATTCAGGAATGTATGATTTCGACGTTGGTCCGAATTTCCGACCGCGTCTCGGTGGTCCAGTTCCATTTCCTCCATGGAGAGGAGGTCCACCGAGAGGCAGAGGTTTCAGAGGTGGTCCAAGAGCCCCTTGGATGGACAGAGGGCCTCGCGGACCTGTGATCGGCAACTTCATGCCAAGGGGACTAAAACGCGGTGGACAATTTAGGGGTAGTAGTTTCAGAGGTCGGGGACGTGGTAACAATTGGTAAAAAAATGTATGAATTCCCCTTATTAAGAGGGAAAAGAGAAAACAAGAAAGAAAGAAAAAGAAAAAGAAAAGAATTTCGCCGCAGTTTTTACCAAGGAAAAGAAGGGAAAGATCGTTTTCAGAAAATAAGAAGGAACGTTTTTTGTATTCTGTACATACGTATTAATTACTACATGAAAGAGAAAACTCGTGGAAGCATAACGAAGGGGGATTTATCGTTCGAGCGTGGATCTTTGTATCACATATTAGATGCTCTCATCAGGGAATGGGATTAAAAGCTGATACGATCCCAGCTAAACCGACTAAGTGGTTTTTCTTATCGAAGATTCACGCTTCTTTGTGTGATTGATCCGGCTATATACATATATAAATAAAATTATACAGATACACAGATATAAAGGATGTACATGTACACGTAAAACACATTCTCTCTCTATCTCTATCTCTATCGCTCTATCTCTTCGTCTTCTTTGAAAGAAACTCGATTCAATTCTCACATATGTATATGTATTCATGTATTATCGAAACGACACCTTCGACACATCTTTGATATGGGTTTATCTTAACATTTTTCAATGTGGTGGTGATATAAATATTGATAGAAAGAAGGTTGATTTAATGATATATCGTCTACGGTTGTCGCTTCGGTAATGATCAATATTTTACCTCCTAGGGTTTTATGTAAGACAAAAGAAACTTCCGTTTTACGTACATACGTGTTATTACACATGCAAGCACGGTGGAAAAGAAAGAATAGTATTTATCTGCCAGATTGGTTGATCTGTGAAATGGTTGGTTTTGCTTTTATGTTGATCATTAAAAAAGGTGAATGTGTTATGTGTTGAAAAGAAAAAAAGTAAAAAAGAGAAAAAGGGAGCAGCTCTTGAGTATTTAGAATTTGTTTCACGGGTCGCTACTTTTTATACACTTGCCTCTTAATCGTAATAATTGCCTGTTTCTTTTCACTTGTCCACATTTCTAATCGTTTCGTTGGGGCTCGTTTAAACAGGCATGTCAATGAATCTTCAAACTGTATTAATAAAAATGCAATGTTTACGTTCTCATCCGCTTCGTACATTTTCCCCATTTTTTGTTCTTTTTTTACGAGTATATATAGTGTATGTATAATACATGCGTTTATTTCATTTTTGCGAAGAAAGAATTGAATTGAAAGGGAAAAAAAAAAGAACGGAAGAAATATCAAACATTATACTGCGTTATATATTGCAATAAGTTACTGCGTTACATCGTAGCATCGAGAAACGCGATGAGAAATAAGAGCAGGTCGATATCGAGTACCTGTCTCCGATATATTACTGTCATTTTTCTTTTTTTTTCTTTTTTTTTTTTTTTTATATCACCTTTTTCCATTGCGAATGAACAAAGATCACTGTACGAAAAAAAAAGAAAAGAAATTTGACAAACGAGTTTCGTTGACGATGATTCGTTTGCTCGATCAACCCGTTTTTTTTTTTCGTTTTGTTTCTTCTGTTTTTCATCTGCTGCGTTCACGAATGTTTCACATCTGCGACAAAAAAGTGAAAATAGATAAAAACACTTTTCACGAGCAATTGTAAAACTATGTATATATATATATATATATATATATATACACACATGTTATAATACTGTATATATATATATATACATGTATATATATACATACATGTATATATATAATACATGTATATATAATACATATATACATATATATACGTATTTACATGCATACATATATACATTGTAATTGTAAAAGAATGTAATCCGAGCAGTTCCTTTATTAGATAAGTTTAAGCTTTGTTTTGTACATCTTGATTATCGATTATCCGTTTTTATTTTACGGATCTCATCTCAGCTAAACTGTGGATGTTTATGCATTTATGGCAGGTTTATAGATGCAAGAATGTACAAAAATATGCAGAAATATATGAGATACTAAAACTAAGATACGAATAAGGTGTCACAATACTTAGCGAGTAAAAGAAATTGTCTTTCTCTTAGCTGCATTTATAAAAATGTGAATAATTTGCATAAACATGTAATTTACTCGCCACCGGTGAGAATTTTTATACAGATATCAATATTGAGATTCGGGTAGGAAGTAAACGGATCATTGTCTAGAATAAAAACGAAAATACATGTGTAGATATCGATAGTGAAGCGCACAGAAATTAAGTGTAGCAAGATAAATCCTTGGAAAAACTAATTGATTGTTTAATAAAATATTGCAATCTACCGAGGACCTTGCCAGCACTCGACAAAACCGTAATCCTGTTCAATGTACATTGTATTTTTTTCGTATCCATTCCGCGATCAAAAGAAAGGAAATGTTTTATTTTCTCTACTTATGGAATGGAAGATAGAGGAACTAAAGCCCGGGTTTTCATTACTTTTCTTCGTAGATTCGCAGATTATGATCTCTATGTACATAGATCCATAGATTTTTCTTCTTTCTGCCCGATCAATTTTCCCGTTTATTTTTTCTTTGTTATTTTTTATTTTAGTTAATCGTATTTTTTAATGATTTTGTTTTATCTTATTTTAGCAGATTTAAAGAAGTATACCAATGAGTTTACATACATACACCGCTCCAGAGGTTTTCGTTTTTTTTTAGACATACTTCTTTTTCTTTTCTTTCTTTTTGTCTTCAAAGTTTTCATTTTAAAGAATCACGACCGAAGGTATAAATTTTTATTTGTAGATTGTGAAAGTCTCTCTCTGTTTTTTTCTTTTTTTTATCGCAGCTCTCTTGTCTGACTGGCTGAAATCTCTATGGATCTATCTCGATTTGCCTACTCATAAAAAATCGATTTTTTCGTTTCGTTAAACGAATTTCATAGTTTACACGGCCTAATAGCTGAACGTACTTTCCTCTGTTTAAACAAACATTTTAATTTGTCCATTTAAAACGACACGTGAGAAGCAAATTTATCAATAAATTTGTATAATCTAGTAAATATATACATTCGCCAGTCAATGTATGCATTTATGTAATGTTTTAACAAAATTACCAAGTACAAAAATATTCATCGTTCTTAGTAAGTGTATTCGTATATATCTTGAACAAATACGTGCAAATTACTATGCGCAGTTATATATAATGTACGACGACCACAAAAGTATGATTTGAAGAATTTCCATTTTTCGTGAATATATTTACTCCTAAAAGTGACATATGCACGAATTGACTATGATCAGATGTATAAATTTACTGTCAGCAGATAGATTTAATTTAATCGTATCATGGGAAATGTTTAGTATTTCGATTCGATCAACGATTATTGTTCTATTGTTCCCTCTTATGAGTCGTTCGAAAAACCCGGTGAATTTCAAAGAATGTGGCAGCATGTATCGATTTGTATATAGCAACGCGTGATAGATACGAATTTATAATACTTGTAACACGAGCACATCACGACGGCCTGAACGGAATGTATAAAATACATATTGTACAGTTCTTAGCGTTATCATTACCTTCTTTCTTCGCGCACGAAGCAAAACACAAGAGAAAGAGATACACGCCCATTAACAATCCTCTACTATTTTTTACCACTATCACTGCCTCGGTTTTCTTTTACTTTTTTTCAAACTATTGTTACCAGATGAAAATGAATAAAATATAAATCGCGCGTGCAAATGTATCTTTGCTTGAAGTCACGCCTGGCGAAATTGCATTTCGCTGCGACGTTCGAAAATTTTCCACCCTTTGCGATCTTCGTCTATACGATCGATCTTCAAAATCAATCAATGAAACGTGACAATAATTCTATCAGTTGTTTCTATAATTCTTTAAACGTTCGTTTTTTTTTTTTTTTTTTTTTTTTTTTTTTTAACAATTCAAACAATCGTTCGATTTGTTGTATTAAAAAAATCATCACTATTGATCGTGTGTATAGATTGACTCGTAAAGAGTGAAGTCTACTCGATATCCTATAATAAGCGCAAAGTATAATATCGACGAGTATATCTATGAGATATAGATTTGTTATAAATTTAAGTTAAATGCGTATGTAAATGTGTAAATACATAAATAGAAAATTTGATGAATCTTGGCAGCTCGAGCAATTTGCTTCGTCTATCGACACTGGTCTTACATTATTTTCATGTGAAAGAACTCGCAAAGTTGAAATTTTATCCGCTAAATTCTTTGTTTTCGCGAGGCTGCGTGCGGTTATATCGATTTTGGCTTAGCAAGCCACGGGGTGCACCGTATGTGCGTGATTTAAGTATTTCGACTCATTTAGTATGTACTTTTATGTTGGTTTCACTTACGATGATTAATACGCGCAAATGTATATGCAGGTACGTGTGCGTGTGTGTATGACAAAAAAAAAAAAAAAAAAATGCAAAAGCGATTTATGTAGCAATTGTATGAAATGTCGGGATATTTTTGCGTAGCAAAAATGTGCAAAAATACTCTCGAAGATCACTCATTTTAAAGAGGTGCAATTTGTTTATGGATAAAGTAACTTTTAAATGAAACTCGAACGACAGTCGTAGACGATTTATACACCTCTCGACTTCCTCTTTCTTTCTTTCTTTTTTTTTTTTTTTCATTTTTTTTTTCTACATTTAATGATATACTGTTGTAATTCTCCGTTCTTTTTGGTTTTCTGATTTACAGTATCTTGTATGGCATGCAAATTTTTACGAATTTCTTTTTCTGTTTTCTGAAAATGAAACAAAATAAACTGCATGGAGTTTAAATAAACGTCGGGAACGTAATGAATAAATAAGAAAGCTGTTAATGGTATATAACTTAGGAGTTGCGCTATGTAACCGCATCGCTCAAGTTTCATTTAAGCGACTTTATCGCGATAGGAAGAAACCGAGACGACGTTGCAAATGTATCGGAATGATATTTGAGCAGTGTATATGTATATAGAGGAAAACGTAAGTAGATCGATCTTCTTGCGTGTGCGAGTAATGCGAAAATGCGAAATTGGTGTGCGAGTAAAGTGCCTTCTCACTCGAAGTAATGAATTTCACTTCTTTCGGTGAAAGTTTATTGCTCGTTGTCCGATTATTCGGTTTCACTTCCTTTTCAAAGTTACGAATTCGCCTGTCGAGATGTAACTATTTCCCCTGATGATTAATTTATTTCCCCGATTTTACCGTCTGACCTGAAAATGCTCGATATTGATTAAATAGTTCTTTGTACTTTTCTTTTTAATATACAAGTTCATCGTACTGTTTAAGCTTAAAAAAAAAAAAAAATAGAAAAACAAAAATGAAAGAATCACCGACAGGCGGGTAGTTAGCGTAGAAGAAAAAAAAAAAAAGAAAAAACAAAAAAGAACAGCTCTTTGTAGTTTTTCACATAGTATTCCGGAACTTCTGATATGGTAAGCGTAGAAGTAATCGATCTGAGGTTCTATTAATAAGTCAGACTCAATTATCCCAGACGATAATCTCGTAAAGTAGGCTATTGTTTAATTATTTAATAATAGGCTGTCAATACGTTTTATATTCCAACGTAAAACTACATTCTGCATACCGTGTATGCTTAACGATATTTTTTGTACTTTGTCCAGATAAAAATGGAATCGATTATTTATCGTGATCAACCGTGTACAATCGTAATATCCTGTGATAAGATCATGGGAATTTTTAGTTCTAAACTCCTTTTCTTTGTTATATTCTTCGAAAGAGACGAAAAAGAAAAGCAAATCTGTAAAATGATATAAATATAATGTATATATTATATATTATATTTGTACGTGTGTACATAATATTCAAGATATGTATGTAGATATTTAAAAAATATCGAGGTTCGATGATATATATATATATATTATACATCTGATACAGATATATGTATGTCACTGAGCTTCGATATTCCATATATATATATATATTTGTATTGCGCAATCATTTTATGATCGTTGTTGTCTTTATCTTAAGGCACAATATACTGAAGGAATTTTGAAAAAAAAGAAGCGAAAATTCTTTCACAGTACAAGTCCAATTGTTATACAATGCATGTTGCATTTCGTTGATAGGAAGCGAGGTATCATAATATTACGGTGATAAAGTGTGTAAACCTTCCAACCGTAAGGGTTTCGCAGAAATATCTTCAACCCTTCGGCTGACAAGTGCTTCTTAAGCAACACTTCCGGTCACCACGTTCCTGTTATGTAATTGATGGGATTAAATGCAAAGGGGGGTGCAAGTTACGCCTTATTGAACAGTTTGACGCTCGAACAATTAACGCTAGAAGCGTTCGTTTTATTTTAAAAATTTCCCAAGACATTATTGAATTTTCTAATACATTGACTCACGAAATTATTTGAACATTCTTCATACAAAACATTTACTGTCCGTGTTAAGAAAGAAAAAATTTTAAAATTGTGAATCATTGCAACATTCTGAGAACTGTAGTGAGACACGATTGTTTGTCATAATTGTATTGGCAAAATTTGTAATTAATCTCGGAACAAATTTGCTGTATATAAAAATTAGTATACGGTATAAACATATGATAAGTGTGAAGGATAATCTTGTTAAATATTGAGACATATTAATAAATAGATAATGGGTAATTAACTGATACTTTTACGATCTCTGCGGATTTTGTAATTTCTAAATACATATGTATTCTCAGATTCGTTTTAAATTTTACTAATATAATTCTGATGATCGTGTCTCAATACGGTACTAATGAAATTTAAAACTATTTTACGCAACACACGTGTTCGCAAAGAAGTTTAAATATCTTCGTGAACGACATATTCGCTACTTCATGGTACGTTCGCAACAAGCTTCTGTTCGAAGTTCCGCAGCTTCTCGCACTTTTGCATTTAACACCTTCAAATCATTTGTATCATATGTAACTCTGTTGTTTCTGTGAAATATTTTGACAAGCGCTCTGAAAAGTACATACATTGTTTTCATACGATGAAGTGAAATTACAGAAGCACGTTCTTACGTTTCATCGCATTACGTGAAAATGTAATGCACCCTCTTATCGCGCCCTCTTTAGGAAAAATTTCGTAATCGAACCTTTCAAATTCGCAGGGACTCTCGATACATCGAATATAGGTTATTCATTTGTTATTGCGCGATAATGAACCAAACCAACGTAATTAAGTTACGTTGTATAACAACGTGTAGTGCATAAATCGTGATATAATGACAGTATGTGCTACGTTGATCGAACAATATTATGTCGCGATCGACTTATATTCACGTTGCGTGGCTGATCGCCGAACATAGTTGCCAACATCAGACACATTGTTGCAGATATCGCATCTGCTAAATATAGAGACAGTTTTATCATTGAAATCTAAGAACGTGGAGGAATTCACGACGTGAAATTGCGATTGTATATTTAGTAAAATTTTCTGGGATAGAGAGAAAGATCAGATTTTTCAGTACGTAATTTTACGCCGTGAATGTTGCAGAGTGCGCTGACTTACGAGCAGTTTTACCTTTGTCGGTAATTCAGTTTCACATTATTGACCTTCGTTTGAAAAAAAGATGTTGCAACCGATCGTTACGATATTTAAAATGTGTAATTTTTAATAGTGGAAGAACGGAATTCGAACATTTTGAGGACCAACTGATCTGTTATTAGTGGTAACGTTTGAATTTTATAAATGGCTGTGATAAATCATTTACAACGTGTATCAAGCTTAATAAAAAAAAAAAAGAAAAAAAAGTAACGTATGTATCTCATTTACAGGATGGTAAGCTCGTAGAATTATGACTTTTTAACCTAGGTGTGTCTCGTAATTTTACGGTTGACGTGTAACTGATGTCCTTTCCTTAATGGAAAGACGAATTAAACGAATGAGATAATTTGATGTACAATGTAGTATTCCTGTCTAGATACAAAATATCTTGTAACTTCTAATCGAAAATTCGAGAAAGGTAAAATAAGCGTAAGCATCGTTTCGAAAAAATTTTCGAAAATTTCTAGCAATAAATTTTATTTTACACATGATATTACGTATAAGAAAACTGGAATATTGTTTCAATTCATCACTTCATGATTAAATATTTAAAAAAGATGATCATGACAAGTAAAGAGACTGACCAGTTTCAAATGAACAAGGATGGATACTGAGGAGAAACTTCTTTGCAATGATATACAAAGTTAAGCAGAATATATTTTTTTTATAAATACCTTATTTTTTAATAAAATAATTTCTCTTCATCTGACTTTTGCTCGTATATATATATATATATTTTTTTTTTTAGAGAGCTATGTAACGGGGATACTGGAAAAACAGAAATTGCGTGCGAACGTTGAACAGGTGTGGTACGTTATTCTAATCCATTTAATGTACTTTCCTTAATTAATAAAAACTTAATAGAGAATTTAGTTTCACGTCATGCATTATGAGAGTTTCATTACTGAAATAGAATCCGCCTCCTTTGGCAAAGTAGAGGGTTCTTCAAGAATTCAAGATTACCAGAGAGTCATATATACGTTTCGTAAAAACGTACGCCTCGTTGGATTGGAATATTGAGGTAAATCGATGAAGTATTTTAAGCTTAATAATTTCGTGATCGATGGATTTAATTAAGTGCAATATTTTTTTCAGTCGCATTAAGAAACTCAGTAGTGCGTAAAATATACAAAATGAAAATGATTAATCATGGATATAGAGCAACATACTATTTATAAAAATGTTTTTTGTCGTTTATTTAATAAAATATGTAAGAACAAAAATATTATTGTAAATCATACAGGACAAATTAAGTACTTATTCTTGCTGAAATAATATTTAAAAATTTTTATTAATTTCATTTAATCAGAATGATTAAAAACAGCTGAGATACAATAGAGTTCTATGATTCTATATAATTTTGTATTAAATTTCAATTTTATTTTATGTTATTTATGTAGATACTTTATCGGTCGGTGGAAAATTGACCTAATGGATAAAGTGGGCGATGCTAGAACAATCGTTGCATACGAGCTGCTTATCTATGTTCATTTCCCTGCCTTTTCTTCAATTGTTCATACCGCGCGACCCCTCTTGGAAGCGTCAAAATTTTGAAAGACCTGTTATTGCCCTGCTGGAGACCACGTTGGCGCCGTTATGTCGTGCGTTAACGTCGTCCGCGGAAGCGTGCATGTGCATAGTGATGGCATTGATCCTCCTCTTCACGCGGCATCAACAGCCTCTAGAAAAAAATGTGGCCACTTTGTGAGTATTTAACTGTGTACTTGTATATTTAAACCCGTTAGTCGTACTCACGTTTAGCCGTATCAAATTGCTAGTTAGGACTTTTAAAAATTATATTTGCAATAAGAAAAAAATACTTTTTAAACTCTGTAGAATGAACTGAATGAATTACAATATTGCAATTTGAAATTGAAAATGACAAAGGACGAAATGTTAGTGTTGTTTTTGTTTCAATACTATATACAAATAACTTCTGCTAATAATTAGTCTAAATAAAGTGTAAGATGAAATTAAACGTTTATTGTTTCCATGCTCTAATTTAACTTACATTTAGTTTCCTTTCATCCTGAAGAAATTACGTATTATTATTTAAATAATATACAAGAAAAAAGTATATTATTATTTAAATAATATACAAAAAGAAAAATAAAGAAAATGTAACAAGGAATAGAAGTGGAATCAGTTACGCTGTTTGTATCATATCTAGTTTAAATAAGCAATTATTTAAAAAGAATCTCATGGTACAAACTACAAACTATGAACGTTTCCGTCAAACCCATCGCTACCAATGTATATTACCTCTACCTTTTGCATGACGGTGGTTCGGTTGGGTCGATAAAGCCTCTTTCCCTCTCTATCGCTTTAATACCTCCACGTATCTTCTATTCTAGTCACACTGTTCTCCCCTCCAGCGACACTGCAAAGAATGGGGGTAGGAGTATCCGAGCAAGATGGGGAATCGCAAGTTCTGTCAGTGGCCTCTCGGACACGAAAGCGTTGGGTTTGTGGAGGGTGATACGTTATTTTGCATCTTCCTGCTGGCTCGCCAGAATTTCACGCGGTTGTATAGTTCGTTTTTCGTGTTGATATCATATCGACAAGTGCAGGGTCCATCGCGGTGTTTGTCGAGGCGATCGTAAGGTAATGTGTTCGACATTCAAATTGCATGCTGCTTACACGACATGCTAATAAGTGGCGATGTTTTCGTAACAAAAGTACACGCACACGTATACACTTGTACACGCGAAGGGACATAATTTTTCATTTTAGTGATTTTGACTGTTTATTGGGTTGATTTGTTGATTAAGTTTAATGAAAGAGAGGATGACTGAAATGAGAGAAATGAGAGAACTGAAATGACTGAAATGAGAGAACTGAGAAACAAGGAACAAGATTACGGAAATAAAACGTAATGATATAGTTGCAATATAGTATTTCTAGCAAAACAAATTGTATCGATGCTGACCAACCATATTGATTGTAATTACCGGAGATATTTGTGGAAATTCACGTATATATATATATTTATTTATTTATTTATGACGGATCTCTAATGAGAATTTCATTCTTTGAATATAACATTTCGTATAATTTTCAATATTGCCTAAGTTATGTGCATTACTATGTATTTTAAATTCTCTGTAGATTCATAAATGTCCGCAGACAAAAGACGATAAGGGAAGTAAAAAGAAATAGTTGGAAAGATACAATATTGAAAGTTCGAAATGAGTACGTACATACATAACAAGATTTCACGAGAATTTTAGCAGAAAAGTTCGACGATCGATTCGGATACGCAAGAGGAAATTCGGTTGAGATTTAAGGCACCTATTCTATTGTCGAGAGAATCTTATTAACGTCGTGTTTATTTGATAAAACTAGTAAGAGGATGTATCTTTATGGAAGCTGAATGGACGGGGGGGAAGAAGATTACGGAACCGGATACGACCGTTATGGAATACGTTAATTCCATTCTTGCGCATAAGATTATTCTAATTTTTGCGAACAGTTCATCTTCTGTCGCATTATTGACAAACCATCAAGTTATATATAAAAATCTCAGTTTTCTCCAAATCAGTTTTGGTTCATTCTATATATGCAGGTAACCTCAAAATAAAATTGAAATCTTTTGGATAAATTTGCAATTGATTTTGTTACCAGATTGATTTTAATGTTCAAATAAATACAGTGGAGTTTCTTTAATTTTCTTTTAAATTTCTTTTAATTTTCAACTTGTTTTCAACTTGTTTGAAAATTAAATTTCTAATTCTTCTAGGTTATTAATCATAGATCCGTATTATTTATTTCTCTACAACCGTTGAAGAACTCTGATAATGGAAAACGCTATTTCAATTAAAATTTCAATTTCTTTAATAGATTCTATAAAGCCTGGAAAGTTGAACATACTTAAGAATATTAAGCGTAGCGTTTCAAGGATTCTGTCGAACAACGAGTTTAATATTGTAAATGACGAGATAAGTTTATCTCCGGGTGTAACTTCGGGATATCATGTATTTTTCAAAAACCTAAATCATTAATGTACATAAGAATACAGATCATCCATATTTAAAAAAAAAACGGACAACATTCTAAGCTTGAAAAGAACGTTATGCACTTCTTTGATATAAATGCGATTGACTGCAAATATAAGAATGTTTGCACTTTAAATTTGAATTTCTTTTTAGAAATTATAAAAATTTTTGATATTCCACGTTGCTTCGAATTTTTGAAATTCCTTGATGAAGGCAATATCGTTTATTTTCGAATTTTGACTTTGTGGAATTTATAGTAAAAATGCTTTATATTTATATTTTCTATAACTTTTTATTTATTATTAACGAAGGTATTTTTAATTAAAATAAAATTTGTTACAAAATGACGATATTATTTATTTTTTTAGATATCTAAAATAAGTTTGATACACATAAATATTATGGGTCAAGGGTGGTCCACGTGGCGCTTTATGTCTCAACATATGCCTTATTTCACGTGAATATAATTCGAAATCTTTTTAACTCTTTTAAATACATTCTAAGATTTTAAAATACACATTTTATATCCCTTTTACTATTGTATTTATTAAAAAATAGCTTTTTATATAGAGAGTTTTTATTATATATATTTATAGAAAATGCTTTATTTGGAAAACTTTTGTATTTAGAATAGATAACTATAATTTCATTATCAAATTTGTTGCTATTATTTGAAAGAATTAATACTTATAACTTATAAAATTATAGTATTTCACTAATAATATTAGGTAATTCAGTATTAGAGAATGGATTATTAAATGATAATTTATAATCATTTTCAGGTGAAACTAGTATTCAATAACTTTAATCGCATCAATTTCGGGAATTTCTTCCGAAATATATTGAAGTATATTGATTGAATTGAATTTGCTGTTGCATGGCGATTGAAGAATATTTGTGACAATCATACATGAATTTTTTATGTTCGTCTCTAGAAATTGAATCAGTTTAATTGTTTTAATTAACGCGTAATCGTATCTCTAGTTCTTCAGATTGTTCTTTATATAAAGAGAAACGAGAAAGGTATTTGTAAAGAAGAAGAAATCAAAAATCATTTACCAGAGTGGAAACAAAGAAACAAACCGGAGAAATTCAGTTGGCTGGTTATTTGCATATCAAATTTCCGTGAGGACTTCAACAATTGCTAACCGAGTTAACTTGAAGTATCCTTTGGCTGGTGGTCTCGCTGGTAACGTGGAATTGAATTAAAAATGAAATCGGGCAGTATTGTCGATGATGAGTATTCTACAAGTCGGATTCGGGTCGGATATTTACCAAGTAATATTATTTATTCTTTTGCGTCGTTTTATAAAATTCCGCAGTGGCGCTATTTTCCATCTTGACAAAATAAAAGCGGAAGATCACAGTTATTTAAGCGGCTCTTCGGTTGGACGTTGGAATTAATTAAGCCATTGTTCTCTTACTTTCTGAGCAACATCTTTCTACATTGAATGTATTTGTGCTGGCAAAAACCAATGGTATACTAGATTACAAAGTTTTAAAGGATTAATTTATTAAGGAAGCATGATGTTCTTAGATAGTCGTTTATTTTCACGAGAAGTTGTAACGAGGAAGATCTTTTGATCATTTTATTGGAGAATGGTTTTGAGTAATTGTTGAACGAGAGGGCATTTAAGTGGGTTTCAGGTCAGAGATAAAGAAAGTGAGGTTATATACAATATGGAGAAAGGTTAAAACTGCCCGTGCAAAGTGTATCATTTAAATGATGAATTCAAGATATTATATTAGTGGCGACAGGATAAATTTCTGTAACTAGTCTTTTAATTTGAGTTTAAATTTCATATTTAAATTTAAACTTTTGATTAAAATTCAAACATTAAAATACTAACTAAATTCAAAGTCGAATTCACATATTTCCAAATTCGATTTTAATATTCTTTATCATTTTGATTTTAATTTCTTTTTATAAATACTCAAACACGAAGATTCTAGAATAATTCATGTACCAATAGTGATACCAGTTATCATTCGAAGGCCATTTAAAACGCTCCCCCAGGAACTCTTTAATTGATCAAAACGAAGTCAACTGAAACCACTTCTATTAACTCGGTGAACCAATTAAAAGTTGCATTACAGAACTTAAATAAAAGACAAACGCAAACGTATATCTAGGAACTTAAATGAGGCAGGTTTATATTTTTAGATTTCCGTTGCCGTTATTTGTTTATCGGTTATATTTCCTTAGTAACTTCCGCCTTCCTCCGTACTTCATGCTGAAATCTAGAATTTATTTCATTATATATTCCATAGTTTTTGCAATTCAACCACTCTCCTCTACGTATAAAGTTTATGGCATTATTATTTTGGTCACAGTAAAATCACGGTCTTGTCTGTAAGTTTCTTTTGATTAAAAATAATAATGAATTTATTAAAAAATCGGTTATTTTGAAAATAACTTTATTAATAAATTAAGTGTTAAGATTAATTATAAGTTACCATTGGCTTTATGAATATAAATTATTTCTTGCTTATAAATTTATGTACGTAATGTATTTTAGTGTTTAATTCTACGGATTTAATTCAAGAATAACAATGCAGAACGTTTTTGAAGAAACTTCTTTCACGTTGATATATAACTTCGAAGGTGATATTGATATTTTTACTTGTAATGTGAGTATGATACTTAATTGTACTACAAGTAGTAACTAACTAGATCTTGTAAAGAATTTTACCGTTAGACGTATCGAACTTCACCTACCTTTCTACTAATATAGGGTTTCTCAGTCACGTGTGAATAATGTTTAAGCAAAACAGTTAAGTAGTGTGTAAACATCTAACTAGAACATTAGCACTAGTGCTATCTCAGAAGCTAAACGCATCTGTATTCATTCAAAGTGCATCTGTATTCATTCAAAGTTAAACAAAATGAAATTAAGTTTCTATTATATTTCTTAACATTATTGAATAGTTCAATATTCAATGAACAAAGAGAGAATAAAGTGATTTCACGTATTAATTTGTGCATAATCCGTTGTTTGTTAATTTGTTAGAAAATTTTTGGAAATTCGAGCCTTGAAGGCGGAAATAATTTGCATAGTATTCACGCAATCGTGAATCATCTTGGGTAGCTTCTATTTTTTTCATTGATGTTGGTCAATGTCATAAATTAAACAAATTTATGGAATCGATGAAAGTGCACAAAGCAATTACCATGGATATGTTTCACATTTTTCCTTTTTTTACATTTGTTTTGTGCAAATATATATAGATGTATCATTTTATTGTAGAAATAATTTTACGCGAGAATTTATATTTGGATTTTTATATGAAAATCGTTTGGGATTAAAATTGTAGAGAATATATTTGTTGCAAAGCGATTAGCTTTGAAGAAAATTCAGTTTGCAGGATAAAATAGAAATGAACTTTTGAATATTAAACAATCCAACAAAAAAGATTTATTCGTGACTTTTAAATTATTTATTTTTTTAGAATTTAATAAAGAGGGCAATTTATTAATTCGTTATATTGATTTACTTTATAGGCAATTAAAAGGCAATTAAAAAGCATACCATAACATATTTGCGGTACATGTTATTCAATAATGTAGGATGCTATTAAGGCGTAACACATATCACAATTTATTAATATTACAAGCGACACTGTCAACACACGCCTTATGTTATTATTATACATTTCACTCACTTTCAATCAGTTTACAGTATATCAGTTCAGATACGCGTATTCAAAGACAGATCTACATACATACATATGCATGTAATCATTTTCCCTTTTTACTGTTCTCACGTTAACTATGTTTTATTCTCTCTATATATACCCATACTAAGGATAGGTTATTTCTGTTTCTGAGAAAACAGTGTGTTAGTCATATTTTCACATTATCCTACAAAATATCAAATGAATACTTTTCTGAGTACAAACCGCATTAACTTATTGACTACGATATATTTTAATACCTAAAACTGGTTCTTCAATTAGGAGTAATCATAGTAATCTGAAATTGTTTTTTCACCACACTTTCATTTATTAATTCTCACAATCAAGTACATTTTATAATTATTTATAATAAATACATCTACGTATTACTTGCAGCACGACAATTTTGGGTACACATGCTTATTAAAAGATTCATTAAAGGTCGATAATACTCCCTCCGTTCCAAATTAGTTGTCACATCAGTTGTCGCTGTATAATAAAATACACAAATGTAACTGTGCTATTTGGAACGCGGTGTAATGTATTAAGATATCCTGTAAAAATATTGCGCATTTATTCTATTTATTATTATTCTTAAAACCATTCATCGAAGTAAAATATGTTGACATAGAAAACATTAAAAGAATTATAAGTAGATTATAGATATTTATATTATTAAAATAATGAATAATTTTATTAATTTGTTACCTAGTTCATGTCATTAAAAATAATGAAAAGATTAGGACATATTTGTGACATGTATTAAATATTATAATGTAGTACAATATTTATAATATTTACCATACATTTACTATATTATTTATTATTAAATATTATACTTTGAGTATTTCATGTATTTTTTGCTATCATATATTTTGTGCATATTTGTCATTTTTCATAAGTGCATAAAAATCCGCTGTCTATTACGATATTTTCAACTGGAAATTTCCAATTATGTAACACTCCATTGTTCATTTTATATTAGTTGATAAACACGAATTTTTAAATACTCAATATTTTTAGGATATCCTAATATGTATAAGGATTAAATTACATTTACAAGTGTGCTGCGCAAAGTTGTATAGATAAAACTGTGCAGTCACGCAAGATGCGCAACAGATAGTACGTACATACATATTATTGTATAGTATTTGAACTGATGTATGATGTATACCTATATCAACATTTGTTGAATATCCCGATTCAGTGCGAGTTAGCGAGTAATAAATTAGAATCAGGCCAAACATATACAATTTTATCGTACGACGTAATACTACTAAAGTAAGATTGAATGTATTGATTGACCAATGTTATTTCTTCTTCAGTGGCATGCCACTTCAGAATAAAGATGCTGTTGTACAACGAAAGATAAAAAAAATATATATTTAGAAAGTATAGATGAAGGAGGATACATCATCAAAGATCGTATTTATACATATGTATATAGCTATATTTCTTTCTAATCTTTTTTTTTTTTTTTTTTGTTTAATTCTAAGTGTTTAAAATAGATGTAAGCGCAAAATATTCAGTAAATAATCGATTTCATTATGAGTTTGATTTGAAAAAGATAAATTCCTCCGCTTTTGTACGATTAGCATAGTTTACTACAATAAATTATATAATACATTAAATACTACAATAAATTATAATACATTAAATTATAATACAAATTCTCATGCAACAGAGGAGAACTAGCCTTGACCAGTCAATACATTTGACCTGCACTTTAATTTACGTGCCGAGAAACACTAAATTGCGTCGGATTGTGCACGTTTGATAAGTGCCGAGATACAACAAAGGAAATTACGCATTTATACGCGTGTACACTTGAAGTCACAGATATTGGCCGCTGAGAGTTATTTAGGGATTTACTGCGCTTGACTATTATTTGCTAATCTAATTCAAAGATTTTACTTGCAATTCAAATCTTTTGAATTCAAATTAGCTAATCTAGTGGAAAATGGATATCTAAATCAATCTCATACACATGTACATATATCTAAAGCCAACTCTGTCGAGAGAATCAATATGATCAAGTATAAAGTTAGAGCTAACTTTATACCATTAACTTACCCCCCTGTTATTTCTTGGAAATTAAGGAACAGTTGAAAGAAGTTCAACTTTGAAGCATGAAACCAGCAGACTGCAGGCTATTGCAAGTGTAAAAATAGATTAATAGAGGTTTCAAGCTAATTGAATATAAGAAAATTGAAGTCATGTTTAATAGAAACAAATGTAGTTATTTATTTCAAGTAAAGAGTAAGTCCATACCGATTAAATGCTTGTAAGTTGTTTGAAATGAGATGACTTGAATAGTATGAGCTTTAGTAACCAGCTTTAATTATCTAGAGGTCTTACCTCTTCTATAAAATTCAGTATAATAACATAAGGAAACTTCCCTTTGTTATGCTTTACAAAATAATTCTTATCAACCAATATCTGAATGAAAGCATAGCTTAGAATTTAAATAGATATGTACAGTATTATTCTTTTTCTTTACATTTATTGTAAATGTAATATTAGGTATAAAATACAATAGTAGCATTATACATTTCTTAATGCTATTGATGTATATAAAAGTATAAAATATAAAGTTATACTGTTAGTAATAATAAATGTTGTGTCATCTTGTGCATAGTTTTGCGCATGTGTCGTGTTTGATTTTCGGATTCGTCTACAAATCTCGCTTTAAATTCTGTTTGAATAGAGTTACCGGTACCCAACCGTTGATATAAATGAAAGTTCATGGTATCACAGTCTCATGATTGTTTCATCTATCACGGCAGTTGATCGTGTCAGCTTGAATCGCAAAAAGCATGGAGCAGCGTTGACGGGATCCAAGAACATCTGGGGAGGGATTCGCTGATGGTTCCCGTGGAAACTCGGGATATGCGGCCGGTGGCCGATGTTCCTTAGGTTCGTTGATCTCCCGACGAAATCATGCTGTCGGCATGCGGCAGACTGGCGCACTTCAAGAAGAGATTAAAGGCTCGCGAGCTGGAGCTTCGATATACAAACCGCGTATTCGGTGGATAAGATGAGCAAGAGCGTCGAGCTACTCGCTGGGTCGGAGGACAGTGAACAGATACAAGTGGGTGAGTGCGCTAATCCTCCTGATCATTTGTTCTCCACCTTTAATTACTGTTATTGTTATTTATGTGGGAATTACGTTGAGACATTGTATCTTGACTCTGGATCAACTCTCAGAAATTTAGACGAATTCTGAATAACTTACTGTTGGATAGTTCGTTAATTCCTCGAGAATTGGAAGATATTGACTTCTTAAATATTTGGTGATGGTTATTTTATTATAAGTGTTATGTGTTATTGAGTATTATGATGATTTTGTATGTTTTTAATTTCATCTTTTTTTAATACCTGAGCAAGTGTGTTAATTTTATATTTCTCTTCATGTCCTTTTGTTTGTGTATATTGTACCATATTTGCAGAGTGAAAACCAACTATATCCATTTAAAGCTATTGAATCTTATGTTTTTCAAACATAATGTTCTTTAGACTTCTTTCTTCTTTAGAGTATGATTTCCTTTAGACGTCTAGAGGAATTTGAAAAAGTTTTCTATTTGAGAGAACATCTTGGAATCTCTTTATTTTGTCATGTAAAACAAATTTTACTTTTTCCTGTGTGTTTTGATGTTCTATCTCATGTTGTTACTCGTTATTAATTATTCGTCACTAGAACCTGTCCATTCTTTTAAGTATCTATCTACTGTTTTTATTATTATTTCTTGTTTGATATGTTTATTTATTTATATTATCCTTTTCTTGAACTGTGCATTTTATTTTTCTATCATTAAAAACTTCTTTTTTTAGTATCCTTGCATTGTTTTTTTTCTAGTATTAAAATTTTCCTTTGAAATGTTAGACTTTTCTCGTTTCTACAATCTTCTCTCAGAATACTTTCCCTGAGGAGATTGCTTTCTCAAATACGGTAATTTTTCCAAGTTCCAATTTAATCACGGTCGAAACTAATCTAGAAAGATGTTGGACGTAGAAAACCCGTAGCTTGATAGATTATTTCCAATCACTGATCCGGTCTGGACATATACTGTAGGACAGGTACTGTTCACTGAAGCACATGTATATACATCTTTTATATACATTATACATTTTCAACGGAATAAAAGCCGCAGCAATATTCTCAATAGTTTCATAATCATCAAGAAACCATCTTGGAGAAAATGACTACTAACTGACCACATGGTAGACGTTCTTGACTGTGGATGTAGATAATTGATCAGAGGAATATAAAGGAATTCATTTGATTATTGTTCCTCATTCTCTCTTCGACGATAACACTTAATAAAAAATTAATCCTCAATTGATACAATATTTTGAGTTACAGACAATTTCATTCGGCTTGAATTAGAATATTTAATCAGATATTTAAGTATTTAACTGTTAAATTCTGAGCCTATAATTTTATTTTCTGTTCTAATAATCTCTGACACATAACATACAAAGTTTAAATTAAAACTAAACATTCAAAATTAAATAAATTGCTAATCTAAATTGCCGTGTCACTTATAATTCAAGGATCTGTTCTTTCCTTTTCCTTTTAATTAACAAAATTATTAAAAACATAATTAATCATTTAAAGCCTAATAAAAAAGTTATTACTGTATCGGATACAATCATTTTGATTTTGTTAATAGATACTTCGTTAACTTTGATTTTTTCCCCCATTTAAATCACTTGAAAGCTATTAGATAAAATCTGGATTCGACTGATCACGGTCAACAAGGTTCAACGAGGTTGCATAGCCGGTAATTAATTACTATTAAATCTATTTTCATACGATTACGTAAACCCATTAAATCTTGTTTAGTCGCCATCACTATCATGTCAATGGATTAAGCAGTCTTTTTATATGTAATAAATTCAGTTGAAATCAAATAATTCAATAAGTAATAAATTTAGTTGAAATGAATCAGTATACTAATATACTAATTTTAGTTTTCTTGAGTCATATGTTAATTTATAAATAGAAATTATGAGTCTGTATACAATTGGTTATCTTGGCTCTTTATTATCTCCCAAGATAGAAGTATAATTGATGAAAGGAATGTGGTGAACATTCTTAAATTGAATTCTTCCATAGAATTGTTTGATGTAATACCTAAAATTGCATGTATTATTTTATATATTTCAGTAGACATTGTTTCAAAGTTGAAGATATAGTAAGAATTCGACTTATATTGTGTAGAATAATTCACAGGGAAAGTAAGCATAAAATTTTTACTAGAGATTGATTCATCGTTTTAGTAGATTCTAACACGTATCACACAGAGTAGTTGGTAAAAGTATAAAATGTTTACATACTAAAGATTATTTAAGGGTATATAAGAGTCTGGTCTTATATAGTGCAGAATAATTCATTAATGAAAAAGATACATTTCTTTTTATCATCTTCTTGTAATTACATATATTCAATTCAGTAGAATACTTTTGATTGTCAGAACCACGTTCATTTCCTTCAGTGGATTGAGATTGTATTAAGATTATTTTCGACGAATCTCAATGAAATCTAATAACTTTGAATTCTCATTCGAAAGATTTCTTCTCCCATAAAATGATCTTGTTATTCGAAAATGTTGCTTAGATATTCATAATGTTGTTGTCATTCGATCCCCGTAGAGGCAAGTGTAATGTATTTTTCTTGTATTCTTTATCGTTATTAAAATCATTTCCCTAAAACTAAACTGTAGCTACATCAATAACCTTTTAACCGAAACACGGAGTATTTCTAATTCCCTATACTATTTCCAATTTACTGCACGCTTTGTGGCGTTTTAGCAGCTTGGCTAAATGTCATTCGTTCTTATCCCCTCGTACTTTTAGAACGAATAACGTACATGTATGGTGATACACGATATATATACATATTTACATGTGTATGCATAGAGCAGAATAGGAAACTCATATATTTATTATTTCATACGTACTGAAAATTCTGACTTTGTCGCAGAAAGTCAAACCATTTTTAACAGTGCTGATGAAATTTCAAAATATTTGATATAACACATGCATAAATATAAAGTATATACATAAAAATTTTTCTACGCAAAGTATTCAAATATCCGTGCTGGTAGAAATTCTAAAAGAGATTATATGTAATATGTATAAGTACGTATATATTAATGCCCTGAATAGTTCCAATATAAACATACTAATAATCCTATAAACAAGTCTAAATGTTGCTGTATCTACCTATTCTTATATTACCAACTTTAATTTATTCATAATTTTGTTTTTTTTTAATTAAACTCGACCCTTATAAAAATTATCAAAATTTATCTCAAGCATCTAATAATAGTAATAAAGCCTATCACTATAAATTCAAAATTGCTTCCGTGCGACGCCGGAGCGAGTCGCTAGTGAACTACATACATATATTATACCTTGTACTTTAATGGTGCACGTAAACAGTACATAAACCGTTAATATCTCTGTTCAAAAGCCTACTGGAATTGGTGCAAGTTAAATTATGAAATTTCAACTATACAATTACGCGTGGTTAATAAGTTGATTGCGCGAGATCATGAATTATATACATATAATAGGTGTGCCGTGTTGTTAAAGCAAAATGATACCTCCAATTTCTCGTTTTATATGATTCAAGATATTGAAAAATAAGGGTATTTCACTTTTAGGCATTATACTTTATTTATTCACTGGTAAATAACTATTTTTCTGTTCGTTAACATGAATCTTTTATTTTTATTGTATTAGTTATTATCATATTCTTTTCTTTTTTTTAAGTTAAATTATGTTAAATAAATCCTATTTATAGTTACGTTCAACGATATTCAGAGACTCGAAATCAGATATCGGGTAATCATGGGATTAATTGCTTGGAAGATGGTATGTGAGGGTTTACACATGACAAGCAACCCGATATTGTGTTGCCTCTAAGAATAGGAACATTGTTCCTGGAAATGGCTACTGCCTGGGGAAGGGCTGGGTGCTGTTTGGTAAGAAGTCTGTAAGGTACAGAATAGTAAGTGTTTGGCTTAAAACTTATGAATTCAATGCATAGGTCGACTAGTTCTTGCCATGAGAGATTTTTTTTTCTTTCTTTATAATTTCTGATCTACCTATATATGTATCTACATATCGATCTATATCTATTGATGTTTTGTTATTTATATTTTACCATATTCTCCGTTATTTAATTTATAAATTCTTTTATTAACATATATCAATATGCATATGAATTATTGTATTCATGTGAATGAACTTGTTATAGATACAAAGTATTCAAAGATAATTGCAACACAAGAAATTTCTTATAGAAGAATAGTAATGAATTAAAAATTGCATTTGAATAATAATTTTTTAGATGTACATATGTGATTGATTGACGAGTTGCTCTAGATTTGTAGGTGGCAGCTTTGTGAAATGTCCTAGTTTCATCCGGATTATTTTTTCATTTTCATACGAGTTCATGGATTATTTGAAATCGATATAACTATTTCTAGAGTTGTAAAAATTTAAATGATTTAATAATTTGGTTACTGGAGATGGAGTACCTACATATTGTACGTATATTGGAGAATATTACTCTCTCGTTGGTAGTGATTAAATGCTTTTGTGAACGTTATTGTAACGACCTCATTGGTGGAATTAAAGGCTCAGATGGCTTTCTCGTGGTTCTTGAAAATCGATCGCGTATACGTGTTGGATATGTGAGGCTTTCCATTCTTCTAGTCTAAAATGTTTAAATATATTAATTTTTTGCAGATAAAATCTGATCTTTTCAACTTCTATTTTAACTCGTTGATCAATACATATAATACAAGGACTGTATTTATATAAGTTATATGCTAAGCCAGATTATTATCTCCTATTTGGACATTCATAATTATTCATATAATGTTATTTATAAATTATACAAATATATTTTTATTTATAAAATTTTAGCGGTACTATGTATCTATAAGAAATTTAAAATTTAAAAGATTTAAAATTAATTAATATGATTATCAAATTAATAAGATTTATCTAATAATAATTAAATAATTGTAGGTATAACTTATATAAAAGTTATACACATTATTTAATATCTTTAATGTACCTATTAATATATTTAAATGTATTTGGTGAAAGAAATCTTTATTTTATTCAGGTGTCATTTCTTCAATTGCGTTATAAAAAATAATAAATATATAATTTGCACAAACATCTATAGTGTATGATACGTAATTATTTATTTCGTGAAATATTGACGGTATTGCACGATATTGTGAGATATATTAGGTATAATGATATTGTTTTCCTTGAAAGTTGGCTTTGCTATAAATAAGTCAAGTGATTATGTAACACGAGGAATAATTTTTCCAGATAGCAGTCTCGTGGAGGAAAGATCCCGACTGAACTTGAACGGGAGCCGTCAGCTCTCGAAAAGCGCCACGGAGCTCCGGAACAACGACAGCAGTTCGCCGTCACGACGCGGTGAACAGACCGATTCTGGTGTCGTTCATCATCATCGGCATCATCGGCACGCCACCTCGGTGGCGCAACGTACACATATCTTCTTCGCAACCTTGAAGAGCCGTTGGAGTCGAAATAGGAGCAAGGAACGAAAAAAATCGAAAGATGCTGGGACCGTGTTATCTCAGGGTGTTGAATCCGATTACGCTGCCGATTACTCTTCCGAACATAGTAAAAGTTCATCGGCCACGCAGAGTCCTGCCAGACACTATCTTAATCATCCAGGTATCTATTTCTTCATTTTTAATCATTCTTTAACCGGGAATGAGTTAATTTATCAAGAGGTTAATGATAATTACGTATTTACGAATGGACAATTTAAAAAAATTCGAAATCAAATGAAGATTCATGTCATTTTTCAATATCGTATTTGGAAAATTAACGATTCACATTAAGTTAGGCTATGTTGCCGAATTTTGATATTACTGTGCATATTCTAGAATCAATACGTTATGTTTAACGTGTTTCACGTTTTTTTATGTGTAGAGTCGCCGTTGGTATGCGGAGGAAGGCAGAATGTCGTGACAAGACCGGAAGATAGCCCTGGAAAAAGCAGCGAAGCACATTCGAAAGGATCCTTAAATTTTCAGCCGTCAAAGGAGTCGACCGAGGAAGCTCGAGGGTCGATCAGCCAGGATGATAGCGCGTACCTTCAAGAAGAAGTCACACGAAGGAGAGAATTGGCATTGAGGCAGCATGCTTTTTTCCAGCTTCGTTTGCACATCAGAAGAGGGGCGAATCTTGTTGCTATGGATAGATGCGGTGAGATAAACTTTCATTTTTTCGTTTCTTCTTCACTTCCTTTCATTAATGTGTGAAGGTAGAACTGTATATTTCAGTGTACTAACTAGCTATCTTTGGAAAAATGTGTGAGTGACTGTGAAAGAATTGCAAGTTAGTTTAAATTAGTCTTTTCTATGGACGTCAGAATTGTTATGTATTTAAGATTGAAATAATTTTTTATAATTGTGCACTAAACAATAATAGCAGCTGTGTAATTTATAATAATTAAATAACTTTAATAAAATTTGTATATTTATTTTACTTTTAGATACGATATTAATGTTTTGAATATTCATAAAAATGTTAAATTAAAGTGGTTCATAATAGTTTAAATTTTTTAATAAAACATAATAAAAAATTAGTACCATTTTATATGTAGAAGAAACGAAGTATTTCTTCCTCTAAAACTTAACCTTTCTCTATTATATGTAGAATATTTAAAAGAACCAATCTGCTAAGAGTACTATTTAGAGGGGAAGCAAGGTCATATCAAGATACATATATCACTGAAGTTTAACATTTTCCAGTTCTATTTTATCAAACGGAGAACACGACTTGTCCCACTTTCATGTAATCCCTCTTTCAGAATGTTGCCGAAAATCGCGATAAAATTTCGATTAAGCAAATAACCATTCTTTAGAATAGAATTGAAAAAAACGGGACATCAATTGTATGTTCCAGGTGCCAGTGATCCTTATGTGAAAGTGAAAAGCGGGGGTCGATTATTGCACAAATCGCGGACAGTTCATCGCGACCTAAATCCAGTTTGGGACGAGAGTGTAACTCTGCCAATAGAAGATCCTTTTCAGCCTCTCACGTTCAAGGTAAGTTCTTTATCGTTCTATTTATCTCGATATAATTATCTATTGATTATTCCGCGAGAGCCATATTGATCGTCATTATGGCCCATCATTATGGTACCGACTGAATTATGTATAGATAAATAAAATAAGAATAGAGAATTTTTTAATTAAATTCTTTTTCTTAAATTTTTAAATTATATTCTTTTAATTAAATTTTTTTCTCAGCTCAGTTACACTTTGTTTTTGAAAAAAGAAAAAAATAAATTTATTTAAAATAAATTTTTTATATCCCTTTCATTAACTTTAGCTGTAATTAAGCATTTACAAAAGCTTATGAGAGAAAATTAAATTTATTGCATATAACACATGTTCTTTTTGTTTATTCTTAGTCCCAGAACGTGTCGAGATAGTTCTCGGGATTTTTATCAGTTTCTTGCTCTTTCTTTCGACTAGCAAAAGACCTTGGTCGTTTCGACAGGTCTTCGACTATGATTGGGGCCTCCAGGATGACTTTATGGGCGCAGCGCAATTGGACCTCACCCAGATGGACCTAGGTCAACCGCAGGATGTCGTGTTGGAATTGAAAGATCACAACAGACCCAAACAACATTTAGGGGAGATTTTTTTGACCATCACTCTTTGGCCAAAGAATCAGCAAGAAAAGGAACAGGTATTCTTATTGTTCTTTTGTAATTTCTTCAAATTTTACTTTTAATTTAAATTCCTTTATCATTTTAAATAAATTTTTAAATAAGTTTTTTTAACCCTTTGTTTACCAGTGTCTTAATAACTGCGGCTCGTAGTAAGAACAAAATTAACGTTTGATGATTAAAAACCGAAATTACATCTATAAATTACATCGACAGAGCAATTAAGCAGGATCAGAACAAGGGAGCTTTAGTTTAACAATAAGATATAGACGGCGATCGTTCAGCTTATGAATATATCTAATGAAGATGAAAGCTTGTCCAAACTAAGCTCTAGAGCTTATTTAGTCTGTTCATCTCGTCATCTATTTACTACAATAACTATCAAATTGAATTTCTTATTTAGTTCATTTCTTTTGCAGTACTTTCCTAGTATTTAAATAATTTTATTTATAACAACATTATGACTCTCTTCACAAATAGTATTTTTTGCATTTAAAATTAATTTGTTTTTGAAAAATTTATTAGGGTCTATTGAAATACACGGCGTTTAGTATACTCTAAATTATTTATGTTTATCCTATTACACCACTTTATGTATACGATCTTGTTACACGATTCTTTGTAGTTGTAACAGATTAATCAGTGAAATCAGTAGATAATTAAGTTCTAAATTCTCTTTGTCTACCTTAATAACGAAACTTTAGCAGCAAAATAACACCGAACGACCGATTATTTGATCTGAAATTGCATGCCGTTATCGAGGCTTAGCAGCCACGATTCAGAATTCATAAACACAGATAGTATCGAGGAATTTGCATATTATGGTGGCGATAGGGGCATGTAGATTGTTGTGCCACTTTGACAAACGTTATCTTTCTAGCACAAGCAGTGAACACAATTTTAAGTTCAATGGACTTGCATATGAATGAGTAGGTATAATATACATACCTAATAATGTGTATAATTTTGTATGCAAAAAGAACGTGTAAATTTGATATTCTATGACACTTACAGGCAACCGTGTTATGACTATAATATGACTGGCGCAACCTTTATGTCGGGAATTAATTAATGCCAACTAATTGTAAGTTTCATCGCAGTCGAAAACTAGTGCCATCTGGAAGGATATCCATTTATTCTCCTTTAATGCGATTGATAGTTGACAATAAGACAGTACCTGATAGGCAATATTTGTCCATCAAATTTGATTTTTCGAGAAACGATATTTCATATGTATAATAACATTATCAGTCGTCATAGTGTTAAAGTAAATTCAAGTGGGATTGCAGCTCGTTGGTCGAGTTTCATGTTCGTTATTGTGTCGAAGGAATATTCGATTTTTATTCAATGCACACCGTAAACAATCACCCCTGGCAAGTATTAAATGTTGTGTATGTCCATTCGAACAATTCGACGTTTCAGTGGGCAGATGCTTCCTACGCAATGGAATATCGATAAACGATAAGTCCGTCGAGTATGAACTTTGACAAGCTGCAATTGGAACGCAAACCGTGTGCATGAATTGTCAAAGCGTATGCCATGAAGAGAGACCTATTAACAAATTGCTCGTTTTCTGTAGAAGAACAGGTTAGGTTATTGTTTATAGTTTATCGATACGATATATATTTTGTTTTTTTCCTAATAAGCAGACTATGGATGTTCATACATTTATGAAAATATCTGAAATATTGATATTATATATTGTTATAATATTTAGTGGATGAAACCAATCTTTGTTTAGATTTTATTTTTTTTAATTCTATTAAATTTTTTCTCCTATTTAATTTAATTTAAATAAGATTTAAGTAGAATTTGTGTGTCTAGCACATCCACAGTCTACAAGTACAAAATCGTACTTTGCTACTATAATAATAAATATATTTAATATTATTATTTGTTACTGTTAATATTATTTATTGTTGCAATTATTACGTAAAGTTTTTATTACCAAATTGTCTCATTAATTTTATTTTCTAGATAAAAATATATTTCACAAATTGTAGACAAAATTCTTGAAGATTAGTATTTGTAGACAAAATTCTGTAGAAGATTATCAATATCAAGTGAGAATTAAAATTGGAATTTCATTGGAAATTTAGTAAAAGTACAATCGGTTTTCTTATGCAACACAAGATAATTGGCAAAGATAATTCGTAAGAACATTTATTAACGCGGTTGCCGAGTGTAAATTAATAGAGCTATGTATATAATGCGATACGAACCGCTCGTTGAAGTTACGTATACGTAATATCACGATGTTTACCTTCTGTTGGGATTGGAGAGGGAGGAGTCTGGTTGTCGAGGGAAGGAGAAGTGTTGTTAAACAGTCACATATCGTCATTCGAGGAAGTATGATTCTCGTGATTTCAGTGTGACCTCTTCTACCATTGCATGCAGAATTCTTATTTCCAAATTCTTACAAAATCCGCAATACGAAATTTCATATTTCGATAAAGTGAATTTCAAAAGACTCACGTGAAAAACACGTGAATCGATCAAAATTCATCGATCATCATTTCGAGAAAAAGAAATCCCGTCGAAAGCTGGAATAACTCTTCTTCTAAAAACAACAAGCCCTTTGTCTTCCCCGCACATTCTCAACGCGTGTTCCCGCAATCTTTCGACCATTGTGAGACAAGTATACATAGTGTATGTACATATAATTACAACATACGTGTGTATGTACCAGATACATGCAAAGTAAATACATAAAGCAGACGGACCTGAAAGATTCAAACGTGGAATAGAAACCAAACCACTCACTCAAGAGGCCGCTACATTGTGAAACGGTGTTATGTGCAGTACCGTCGTGCCAACTGGTTGTGGAGTGGGAATTTCGGTCAGTGACGGAGGCGCTGTGAAATTATAATGTCAAAATTCTGTTCAACGAAGGCATTTGGAGAAGTAATAAGAAATACTGCCAGCAATAGCGGTCAGCGAGGTGGAATTTCGGTCAGTTAACAGGACAATGCTATTATACAATATACATACACACGTATAACTCGCAAGTGGAATCGCAGCTTCGAGCCACGTGCACGTGTGCCTGTTAACGTGATCATGATGACTCAGTGACACTAAGTACACTGAGGTTCGCGTTTCAAGCGGCTCGTTTGCCGCGATATTGTGTCGAGGAAGATTTTCGTCTCAATTCTACCAGATACCTGAAGATTTTAAGTCGGAATTTTCAACTTTGGCTAGTGGCGTTCAATCCGGACGCTGAATACCACGTTTCAGGCTGTTACCGAAGTTGGTCACGCGATCTACGTGGAATCAAGTTTTCCTTGCCTCGGCGAGATCGATTTCAGTGTTCAGAGACTCTGCTGCAATTTCGATTTTGTTCCTAAACGTTGGTATTAGAGGGTTTAACGAGACTGTGCGAGACAGCTTAACGGATTTTTTACGATTTGATCGATCCTTACTCGATGTTTTTTTTAATCATTGTCGATGCTTCAGTGCCATTAAGGAAGATAATCGATCAATGATGCTAGATAAAAACTAATCTCTCCTTATATGGGAGAAATTAAAAACGAATGTTAAAAACGTGAAAAAAAACAAGTTCTCGAGAAACTTGAGAAAATTAAAAAAAGTGTGTGTATTTTTAAATCGTAATATTTATATTGTGCAGAAAGAAAGAAAGAAAAGAACTCAACTAAAATCGAATTTTAAATATTGTTAAAGATGAATGCAAAGTGTTGTTTTGAGATTTCCAAAAGAAATTATTCTTACTATTGTTAATGTATAAAGGCTCATCGATAGTACAACAAATTCGAAGATACTCAAGTTTTTTAATCTGTGTCGCCATATGAATGGAAGGATAACGACACGGCAAAAATTGAAAGGAACCAAAAGAATGAAAGAAATATTCATGGATAATTTTGGAAAACTCTTTTCTGGAAAACTGAATTAGAATTAGAATTATACAAAAATTATGTTACAACAAGAATTCTTTTTACTTGAATTATAATTATAAAAATTTATTAAAGAATAATATTCTTAAAACAATTTACTACTCGAAAGATATTGATTAATTGAAATTAAAGATATTATTATTTTAATTAAAGATATTATTAATTGAAATCGAGTCGAAGAGAGGAACTTCGCCGAAGATTAAAGTGAGAAAATGGAAAATACAAAAGCACGTGGACTAAGAACAACCTCATGAAAAGAAAGCGCTGAAAGAAAATTTCTTTACTTTCTGGCTGAAACTAACGATGGTTGTAATTATCCTATCATTAAGTATCAGGAACGCGACAAGATCGGAAGAGAACATTTATTGGTCACGTAAGGTATTTAAAAAAATTGCAACACAACCATTTTTAGCAACGACTTATTCTCAGAATATGTAAAAAGTATCGTTTTCGTTTCTCGATAAATCGTTTCATGTGACAACTTTGCAAAATGAAGAAGAACGTGCAAACAGCAAAGTCCAAAAACGACCCTAAACAAACGACCAACGAAAATGATCTATCCTCGAGAAACTTGGATGAAAATCAACTGTCAAATGCTGAAGGCAAATCGGAGATGTTTGATCGAAAGCCGACGGCAACTCCCCGTGCCGAGAGCAGCTTTTTCAAGCGTGACAAAGTGAGTGACATACCTCCGAAACACTCGTCTTCGATTGATTCGAAAAACTCTTCCGCAAGAACGTCGATGAAATTTCTCAAAGTAACCACCAACGAGGAGCCCCGCGAAAATAAATGGAAAAAGTTCTGGGAGCATCATCGAGATAGGTTTCGGCATAAGTCTGAGGAAGATCTTGCAACGAGGAGTCGAACCGTCGAGGAGATGACAGCGGAAGTGGACGCCGTGTTTCGGAAGGCGATTCGGAGCATGCGACTCGATCGAACCGATACTGATCGTCGATCTTTTAATACCGATGAGACTTCTCCAGAGAAAGATGATCTCATAAATGATGAAAGTATTTCAGAATTATCGCAAAACGTGGACGTGCCGCCTCGAAGATTAAAATTGAACACAAGTCGTGCAGAAGACTGTAAATTGTTTGATGCCTCGGCAGATGATCAAGGTGCATTTAAGAAAAGGCCCGAGGAAAATGATCTCGCGATCGCTGGAAGTAATGACGGAAAACAGGAAGCAAGTATAGGTAAAGTTACTACTGAGATTTCCGGTAATGACTTCTTCGTAGGCATCAACGATGAAGAGAAGAATCAGTTAAAGGACAAGATTAGGTCAGTCAAGTCTAGAAGATGGAGTTCGTTGGAAAATTTGGGAAGAAAGGTGAAAAATGTTGAAGAGGATTCCTGTGGAGGCGGGATAGAAGATTTGTCGATTGAAAGGCCAGTTCGAGGTAAAGAAAAGAGGACGATCGGATCTCTGAGGTCTTCGTTGGAGAGAAAGATGGGCTCTGTGGAAAGGATTTTGGAGGATCAGATGGAGAAAATGTGGGAGCAGAACTTGGAGAAGCATCCGTGGTTGTTGCCTATAGAAAGTTGGATTAATGAGCGTTGTAGATCCTCCTCTGGAACGCGTTCCGTTGTTCAAAATGAGAGGAACAGCGGTTTGGAACTGGAAGACGGAGAATCAGGCGAGAAACAACGGTCGGAACAGAATTACGATTTTAAATTTACCAGATCTGAGGAAAAAGACGAGGAGGGAAGTATTGAAATTAAATTGGACCATTTGAAGAAACCGGAATTTGACGGTGTGAATTTGATTTCGAAGTTGAAGAGGTCACTCCCTTCTGAACAGTCGAAGATGGAAAATCAAGAAGTTTTGGTCATGAAGGACGTGAAGCATCAGGATCTGTTCGATAAGCTCAAGGACAACGTTAAAGAGAAAATGGAGGATATTCATAGGGTAGATTGGAATGTTTCCTTTTTTTTTTATTTATTTATTTAATTATATTAAATATACTCCATGTGATAAATTTTTGATTCGTGACCCAAAAACACATGATTTATCTTTGAAGAAAAATAAATTACCGTGCTAAACTTAACTTTCATTTTTTACTCTGTTATCTAACATGTATCATACATCAAATGTAATAAGATAAAGTTAAGTTTATACTGAAAGATTGCGCTTATCGATACTACGAATGATTCATGTTTGTAAATTTGACAAACAATTGCGATAGTTACATTTAAAATCACTCAAATTTCTTATTTTTTCTCTCTTACGTTTCAATTACTATTGCAAGCTTCGTATGGATTTCTCGGAATGCTTTGTTCAGTATTTACAAAAAGATTAGGAACAAATATCAAAGTTGAACATATAGAATCGCGAATAAGCCTTGACTAGTTCCTTATCGAGCCGAGTCCATTGAACAAATAAATCGGGAACTAATATCGGGGCTGACATTTTGTTTTCTCCAATACAAATGCTCTATCTAGGATACTGTGAAATTATTGTACTCCCATGGTGAAACTGTAGTTTTCTTCCCCCTGTTTTCTTCTTTATTTTATTTCACTTTTTTATTGTACTTTCCTTCGACAAAGAATTGGACCTCACGCGACGTACTTTTATGTTTGCAGTATTTCCAAAGGACCAATCGATTGGCAGACGTAAATAGACGACTGAAGTCGCAGATATGGAGCTCCGTGGTAACGATTGTTCTTGTAGAGGCGAAGAATCTATTACCGATGGATATAGACGGTCTTTCGGATCCCTATGTCAAGTTTCGGTATGAATGCCCTTATTCTCTTCTCTTTTGTCTTCAGCATCGTGTTTGTTATTGAAATTACTGTTTGTTTTTATCGCTCGACAAGATATCTCTATGCCTCGTTTACTTTACTATGAAATATTTTTAAAACTAACAATAGGAGCCAACGTCAAACATAACAAATTACTGGATACATTAACTTTATTGCCCATTAAATCATCCATACTTTAATAAAATATTTTAAAATACATTTATAATTATCTTCTTTTATTTTAGTCTCGGGACGGAAAAGTACAAGTCAAAAGTGGTGCATAAAACTCTGAATCCCGTTTGGTTGGAGCAGTTCGATCTTCATCTGTACGAAGATCCTTATTTAGGTCAGGAGTTGGAGGTCACAGTTTGGGATCGCGATAAAAGCCACCAGGATGACCTAATGGGAAGAACGGTGATCGATTTGGCGACACTTGAACGCGAGACGACCCATCGACTCTGGCGAGACCTCGAGGACGGCTCTGGGAATATATTTTTGCTGCTGACTATTAGCGGCACGACCGCCAGTGAAACGATCAGCGATTTAGCCGCTCATGAGGAAACACCTCGTGAACGTGAACAATTGTATCAGAGATACGCGTTAGCCAACTCGTTGCAAAGGGCGCGGGACGTCGGGCATTTAACAGTGAAGGTATCTATTTCTGAAAAATGATGAAAAAGTGGAGAACTTAAATTTGAAAATAGAAAGTAAATTAAAAAAAAAATAATGGAAAAAAGAAATGCATGTTTTTTTTAGAAATAATTGAAAAGGGTGTAATCTTTTTTTTTTGTCAAAGTTATTTTTATCATATTAATAACATAATAATAAGCAGAAAGTTTAGTTGCATGAAAGTTCACAATACATGTTAAAAGTGTGAAAATTTAAATATAAAAGTCACAGCTTTCATATTTGCTTCTATCACTTTCGATTTTTAAAATGTATAATATATTTTTATTATTACACAGGTATTCAGAGCACAAGGTCTCGCGGCAGCCGATTTGGGTGGCAAGAGCGATCCTTTCTGCGTTTTGGAATTGGTAAACGCAAGATTGCAAACCCAAACCGAATATAAAACGCTGGCGCCATGTTGGCAAAAAATATTCACTTTGTAAGTGATCATGATTACGTAATATATTAGTTTAAGAAGATATGAAATATATAATTTAACTGTATGAAGTTTTATTTGCTTCTTATAGTAATGTGAAGGACATCAATTCGGTGTTAGAGGTAACAGTGTACGACGAGGACAGGGACCATAAAGTAGAGTTTCTTGGGAAAGTTGCTATACCTCTTCTGAGGATAAGGAACGGTGAAAAACGATGGTACGCGTTAAAGGACAAAAAACTAAGGGGTCGAGCCAAGGGGAATTCCCCTCAAATTCTCCTGGAGATGACCGTAGTGTGGAACGTTATCAGAGCCTGTATACGAACGTTAAATCCCAAAGAGACGAAATACATGGAACCCGAGATAAAGTTCAAAAGACAGGTGTTCCTACGTAACGTTCTCAGATTAAAGGCAATCATCGTTATCGTGATTGATATCGGAAAATACGTGCAGTACGTATACTACTTTGATTCTGACCTTTAGTCTGTTTCGAGAATATAATCAGAAACATTTGTTATGTAAATTGCATTCGTCATTATGAATGAAATACTATTCGTGACTTGTCAAAGCAATGATTAATAATTACTGCAATTCCTGAAATATCACATTATTCATAATTCCTTATACATAATTAACATAAAGACATGTTTTACGAAGTCATACTTAAGCTATGTTTTAATTCTATTGAAAAATATTATTATTTAGTGTGCAATGATTTTTTTTTTTTTTTTTTGTATAATTAGGAGCTGCTGGGAATGGGAAAGTAAAATGAGAAGCATCATCGCATTGATCATCTTCGTTTTGGGTTGTTACTACTTTGAGCCTTACATGTTTCCAGCAGCGGCACTTCTTATCCTTTTAAAATATTATCTGGTATGTAAAGAAACTTAGAAAGATTTTTTTACTTTACTTTATCAAAGTATTTTTTTGAGATACTTATCACTGTCTCTATGGATTGTTGAGATTAACACTTACCTTATACTTATTCATCCATTAAGTTTGATTGCTAATCTTAAGTGCCTGCAAAAGTTTAACATCCCACAACTTTTATTTCGTAAATTTTTACCTAATGATAACATTTGCAATATTTAATTCTATAAATTAGACAGCCTATAGAATTAGAATTCTAATCGCATTCAATAAGGTAATTCTGTACATTGGCTATTCTTCTGTTCTTGTTAGTGCTACTTAATACAAAATTACTATCTTCCTTCTTGAGCTAAATGAAATTAAAGTTACAGAAATATGTGACCAGCATGAGTATAGAATTTAGTTGGCCTAAATTTTAAATCTTCTTGAATATTTTATTTTTATAAATTTATCAAATATTCTAATGTCCTAGCATAGTATTATCTAATAATGAATGACATTTTAAGACTTACGTTTATAAAAAATGCCATTATAATCTTAGATCAATTTTTACCACATTTCCTCCATTTAGTATATAATATTGATCACTACTGTTACACATTCTCAATGCTTGCTTATAAATAATAGACGTCAATAACCAATCAACCCTAAATACATGTAAGATAACATGTATATAAATCATCTGCTTGACAACCTTTGCCTGCATTGCTGCATGTCCTTTGCTACCTGCCAGCTTTACGAAGATGGAAGTGGATTCAATCAATGGATTTCCGGACAGGTTGCGATGATAACCGGTACACCCTTATCCCATCATTCGAGTTCCCATTTCCACGACGAGGGTGATGAAGGCCCAGCCACTCCTGGAGATGACGATGACGACGATGATGACAAGGACAAAGTAAGTATTTTTAACAATTGTGATTTAAATTATTAGCTTCACAAATATTTGTGTATTTATTGAAAATGTTCTTTTTCTTTGCATAAAATTTTTACTTGTACTTTACTTTCCTGTCCATTTTGAAGTCAAGAATTTTAAATTGAAATTATTTTAAGTTGAAGTTACATTCTTTCTTTTCTAACAGAGAAATTAAATTACTGTAATTTGTTTGATAATACTAATAGTATATTTTACGTTGCAATAACTGATAGGTGATCTTTCTATATTCTTACGCAATGAATTGTATTGTGAACATTGTTTAAACATGTTTAAATGCTTGTAATAATATAAAAATATACGTCGTCATATTTGAAAAAACAAAAAAGTTGAAAATTTGCTATTCTTTTTAAAATTGATCCTTTCCAAGTGAGATCGTATTCAGCGTATAATAATTTACACTAATCATCTGTTGAGTGTTGGAACGTAAAAAGAAAATAACAGTTAAAATTTGCTGTAGGATATAATTTGTGCTATTGTTCTGGAACAATAGAAATTTATAGTAGATGTTTAGTTGCCATTAGCTGAAGACTCTTTTCAATGAATATTACATTTGGATGTTTGTCACGAACACGACAGACATGTATTTTGGTCTAGTGCTTCCCTCGATTTACTCTTCGACCTATTCAAACGACCTATTCAAATTGATTTGTACCGGTATTGGTCAAACCGAGGTCACCACATTAAAAATCGATCTCTCAATATATCGTAACATTTGTTTCAAAACTAAATTTTACCTTTTCAATAAATAAAATATTCACTCACAATTTGATTTTCTACTTTCAAATTAAATCAACTTTTAACTTTTTATTTTTAAATTAAAGATCAAATGATTAATTAAAGATAAAGAAATAATTATTAAAAAATTAACAATTACCTTTTTTTCTATTATTTATTTATCTCTGTTTGTGTTTCTCTTATTTTAAAGAATTTACTGATCAACAATATTGATGTTTTCCTTATTATTACTTTTTAATGAAAAATTAGAATCTAAATGTTACTTCCTCGCCATATTTTCTTATTTCGAATAATTTTTCTTTTAATTTTTTTTTTTTTGTCAGGAAGAGAAAAAAAGTCTGAAAGAGCGACTGCAAGCGATTCAAGAGGTGACCCAGACTGTTCAGAATTCAATCGGTTATATAGCCAGCCTCTGTGAAAGAGTGAAAAATCTTTTCAATTTCACTGTCCCCTATCTGAGTTACTTAGCCGTGATCCTGACGATCCTCGGTGCCGCTGTTCTCTATTTTATTCCTTTAAGATACCTTATCCTGGTGTGGGGCGTCAATAAATTCTTCAGAAAAATTATCCGGCCTCACTCGGTTCCAAACAACGAGCTTCTTGATCTTATATCTAGAGTACCCGATGACGAGGAACTTCTTAATTACAGGTTCGTATAAAGTCACTTTGTAATTTGGTTACAGCAAATGAAATTTTTTCTTATCAAAAGAGTAGTTTATCCATCAAAAGAATTAAAAGAAAATTTTGAAAAAAAAGAGAAATGCGTTGCATTGAAACAATTTTGCAAGTGGTGGTTCAAAACTTTCTAAAAATCTTTATGAATAATAGTGATGAATACTTTGTTAGTAATAAAAATAATAATAATGGATAAAGGTATTCATTATATTTTTTACTACGCTTTTGCACTGTATTATGTATACATTATTATTCATTGTGCATGCTATAACTTTTCAGAGAGTTAAAACCATTGCCGACTGCTGACTGCGAGAAGGGTTCCACTTCGGGCAGTCCAAGTACGTCGAATTTAACGCGGAGGGAGCAGAGGAAGAGGCACAAGGCCGCGTAGCAGCATGCCCCGCGGCCAGAAGTCGCGGGTCTACGATCACCGAGCATCCTGAGGACGGTCCTGCTGCGCCGGAAGATGCGTCAGCGAAAGGGATCAGCGGAGAATCCAGATGTGATCGACATAGACTGAGAAACGTTCCGTTTCCACTCGTAGTCGTTAAGCTAGGGGGGGATTTTCATCATTCTAGTTCCCAGTCTTTTCTGGTCGTGTTTTTTAGAAACACCGTGCGTGGTATGTCTTCGAAGTCTAAAATGTTTTTATTCTCAGTGAGGGTAGTTTCACGTCGTATTGCTAAGAGAAATAGTCAGATAGCCAGAGAGAGAGAAAGGATGAAAGAGATCAACCACCAAATGGTCGAGTTCATTGCGACAAGCAAAAAAGTAATTCTAACTGCAGTATTCAAAAAAAGACTTTCGCGTCTTTATAGTGTAAAATATTTGAAGTTTCAACTATATGCAATAATTAATTACATGTATCGATATGACTTAAAAAGTTGTAGAAACGTTTAGCGAAACATGCTTAAGTATCTACCAATGTTTATAAGATGTTGGTACTTCTCAAAGAGATTGTTCTACATTATTACATTGTCGACGAAATCTCCGGGACATACCACGCAAAATTGTTACTAGATATTATTTCGATTCGATAGTTGGAATGAACCGATACAGATGTACATCGAGAATTTCGTAAAAAGAAGCAAACGATGGTTTTTCATCTATATAATATGTTCGAAATATAGTAGGAAGTACATTAATACCGAATGGCTCGGCTATTATGGTGTTGATAAATCTGCGTGGAACGATTCGTCGATAGAAAAGTGAAGTGATATAATTTTTCAGTAACATTATCAAAAACAATAGTAACCTATTGAATTCTATTCTGATTATATAATATCTATAATAGAGAACTAAGAAGTTGGCAGTTGGAACGTTACATTAGCTACATAATTTTCACTAGTGGTACGTGATCATTTGGTCCCATTTTTAATTTCTCCATTGACTTACATTTATTGATTTAGAGCTAATCAAGGCCGACTACCATCTTCTCAGCTTCCAATAGTAATTTCATGGAAATTAAGGAAATCGTAAATTCGAATAAACTGAATTTAGAAAATAATAATAGTAGCGTCAAGAAAGGAGAAACAAGTGTAACAAATTATCGTTTGACTTCAAACTATCGTTTGAAAAAAGAATGAAGGAAAACACGAACAGACAAACGCTTTTTGAAAGTATATACATCCCGTTCGAACGGGAGGAAACTGCGTTTCGAGCAGACGCTTATTAGCTAACGATATATGACGGAGAAGAGATACCATAGTTATTTAAAGAAGAGAAATAGCAAAAAATACGCGAGAATAATTCCCGCATACGGGTTATCCTCGATCCGTTTCGTCCATCGGTGTCGTAGATATAGCTGCTACAGAATCGTTATCATTGAGAGAGATATTTAAAAGAAAAAGTATAAAAAAAAAATGCAAAAAAAAAATACAAAGAAAGAAAAAAAGACAATTATAGTTATTCTGCGATGGTCTCGTTTAGCCAAAGAAATTCGCTCGACGAGCTATTTCTTCCATTTCAAGAACGACGAATAGAATAATCATTTACTTGACGTTCATCTGTCTAAATTTTGTCCCATATAATAATAAATTGAATGAATTGAATGTTATGATAGTTTTATCGGTATAGTCTGTTTATTTTATTCAGATTTTGCCTCGTATTGTAATGTTAGCATTTCTGTAATTCTGTCTTTTTAATTTTACTATTCAGAAATCGCTGATTGCCTGTTCGTCGTTCGTGAAATCAAATATTATTTCATCAATTACTGTTGAGACACCTTGAAGTGTCCCAGTGTTATTCTCTTTAAATACTATTTAATATTATCGAATTCTTCGTTCCAACGCACACTGTCACGCGTTCATTTGCCTCCTCGAGCATGAATACAGTGAACTGTTAAACGATAACGAGCATCCTCGCGTCTTGAAATTGTAAAAAGTGCCAGGATTTCGCTTCGCAGTTGAATGATAGAAAATATTACAATTACTCATACTATAACCAGGAACATATCAAACAAGTTAGTCAAACAAAAGAAGAATGTTGAATTTCTAACGGAACTGTGCTCTCGGAAATGGCGTTTGCGCGATTTCTTTATACAAATTATAGTAATTAATGAAGAAACCGTGGAAAGATGTTACTCGTGCATGAAGAGATGCTCGTAAGAAACCGGAAGAACAATATGGAAAGGGGCAAACATTTCTCCGGCCAGTTGTATTACTATTTTTATAACGATAATAGCCATTGCTGCCCTAGTGACAGTAGTTCGTAGTTCTTTCGATTAGATAACGTTTCTCCGTAACTTTCCTCGTTGCGAATATTACGCCAGGTTCTTTCTACCGGTGTTTTCTTCCCATTGTGTAATTCATTGTCTCTGTAAAAAGAAAAGGAAAAGCATGTTATTTATAATTCTATTTCCGGATACGTTACGAGCTCGCATTGTCGCAAAAAGCAATAATAGTCGTGTAAAAGAATATTAACGTTATAGTTATAAAAGTCACACTTTTACGTGAACATTGTGTAAACTCACGCGGTGTACATGTTTTTGAAACATACTCGAAGATCAATTACGCTGAACGATCTCTCTCTTCTTCCTTCGTATTTATATTTTTCTTTAAAGACCAACTAGTGCGACTAGTAAAAAAGAGAGAGAGAGAGAGAGAAGAAAATTCCTAAAGTAATAACGAATGAAATTTTTGTATTTTCGAGTACGTTTTAAAGAATTTATCACAGAGAGCAGAACGATTTGGCCGATTGGCCAAAAATTTCGTTAGATGAACAAGTTAGATGATAAATTCGTTTATTCGATAAATTCGTCATAGCGGACATGCTTGAGGAGGGAAGTAAAACGCGTTGTATTAATTATTCCTAACCGCGATTTTACGGTTGGTGCCAGCCGATGAGAAAGCCGAAAGGAGAAGGAAAGATATCGCTGATCCATTTCTTCGCTTTTCTGAATTCGTAACGTCGCGGCGTCGCCCATTTTTCCTTTTTTTTTTCTTTTTCTCTAAGTTTTCACCATTGATCTTCTCGCTGTTTCTTGTATGTACTCGCATTGTCATGAGAGGCTCAATAGCGTCAGCAAAACCTTGCGGCAAGAATCGTGAAAGAAAATTACATTTTCACTCGTGTTTGACCCTTTTTGAAGCGTTGAACTAGAAAGCACTGTCTCGTTTCAATTCCATTTGAAATAACAAATCTCTTCTTTTAAGAATTTCTTCGTGTATTCTCTAATTTTGTAACGTGTTATATTTTATCTCATAAAACGAATGTGTTAAATTCATAAATTTGCAGTTGCGAACGGAACTACTGTATAAATTGCTGAAAACGAAACGTTAGATAACGCGAGATTGGTCAGCTATGAAATCGGCAAATCGTGAAGGAATCTCCTGGTTGAAATCGGGGATAATATATACGATAGTTTCGGTCGACGTAATTTTATCCACAATCTTTACGGGAAGATTGAGGAACTGAGGCTATAATCGGAAATTGTTCGCGCTTCGAAGGGTTCAAATTGCAACTTTCATTCGCCAATTGCGGGCCTAAATCGCGAGGCAAATGCGTGCAATACAGAGTACACTGAATACATGCATGTGAACGCTAGGACGAGAGACACGTGAATGAAAAACGAGGGAAAGATAGGCGATTCTTTTTTTGTCATCTAGTCAACGAACTTTCTTAGTAAATGAGAAACTTGTGATACTGCGGATCAATTCCCTTGTGTTTAGGTATTGGCGTCGGGGCGGTGTGTGATTTAAAATCTGGCGACTACAGGCCAAGCAAAGGGCACCATTTTCTATTTCGTAGAGCTTAGTTTCAGAGTTTGGTTTTGTTACAAAGCGGACAATCAGAGATACAAGCCGATCGTTGCGTTTGTTGCTGTCGTTTTTGGAGATTTTAAATCGCACAGCTCGCAACACGGTAGTATGGTTTTTATAAGTCATTCCTTGCGACATTCCTTTCGTTGAAATTGTGTGTGTACGTGGACTCACTTGTCACGTTTTTTTCATTTTTTTTTTTCATAAAATCGTAAAAGTATTCTCTTCTTCTAAATTCTCAAAATTCTCTATGTTTACAGCTAAGATTGAATTCTTTCTAAAGATGTTACAATAAGTCGTGTACTCGTGCAATTTCATTTTTCATGCATTTAATCATACTGAAGCGTCTGCTGTTGAAGCAATAAAGTTCAAAGCACTTCTAGTAAAGACGATTGTTAACGACAGCTATTGTATGGCTATGAGAAAAATAACAAAGATTTAAAACAGTCAATAACGGTGACTACTAGTGATGAAGGGGGCATTGATTGCAAGAAATTGAGGCCACAACTTTGCTAATGAATAAACATTAGCGATGAAAATTAAAATTATGATGAAAATTACTAGAGAATCTACTTATTATTTTCAGTGCTATAAACTTTTTAATACATGGCCTGAATATACAATTATCTTCATGTTTATGTTTACTCATGAAAATGACCACCACTAAAACTACTAAATAGAATCATTTTTTTCTAATCGAGACTATCACCATTGTCACCATTGTTTTCTTAATAATAATACGTAACAAAAATTTCAAACTAACTTTCAATTACACACGAAGATGAAGATGGCGAGGAACTTTAGAACTGTCTCAATGTTATTTGAAAAGAAAACAGCCGACGCTTCAAGAGAAACTATTCGCGTTTTTACAGTGTGGTTTTCTACTCTTCCAATTTTGTACTTCCAACAAAAGGTGTATGTAAGATATTTCAGAAAGATTGTTTTCTCAATTCAGGAGAAGAACATTTTCCTGCGTAAAAGGAAAATGCTGTTCTAGAAAAAAAAAAAAAAAAAAAGACACGTCTACTGTTATATTTCAAGCCTTTCGAAATTATTATCTTGTGCACGCACTTTCGAGTTTGCATGCTCCAGTTTCTTCGTGTTATATGAATCTTCATTAAAGTGTTTTAGCTGTTAAGAAGAGAGCAGGGGCGCGCGCGCGAGAGAGAGAGAGAGAGAGAATGAGAGATGGTGAATAAATGAGACGAAAGAGGAAAGAAGAAAAAGGAGAGAAGGACAGAACGAATTCGATTTCCACGAAATCACATACGAGGGTGCATATTTTTTCCCTGAGCCCTGTCCTCTGGATGAGTGCTTTCTATTTCTAAAGAATATCTTTTTCTACTTCTAAAGAACATCCACTTTGTTTCATCATTGAAATTGATTTTCAAAAACGAAACGTTCAAGCGAATATTGCTTTTCTTTATCTTTTTTTTTTTTTGCCAAAGAGAATTGTTAATAAAACAAACTTCTTTCTTACAGTGCGACAATATTGAAATTCGGAATCGTAGCTGGAATAACATTCACATCCATCTTGTCTCGGTCGTCGAATAGTAGCATGGTCACGTTATTATTTGATCCTAGAGTCTGGATAGTCTTCACGAAACTTATTTGTTTGAAACGAACGAAATGAAACAGGTCGGGAAGCCTGTGATTGCGATTCAAAGAACGAGTTCATTCTACGAACAATTTTTCAATTTTACCGTAGTTGGATGATGGGAAACGATGATAATACTGATCCAGAAGGCAGATCGATCAGACAACGCTCCGCACACGCTCTGTCTACTTCCTAATCAATAGGGCAAACGAATATTATATTTAAGGTAATTAGATAGAGTTCAAAACGCAATTGTGATTCGGTCGGCGGATTAATTCGCGAAGCCATTCAGCGGTAAAGAACGAAAATTGAAAACACACAGTGGTGAAGCAAAGAAGGTCCGGACCAAGTCCAGATCGGGTGATCTCGATCGTACAAAAAATGAATTAGAGAAATTAAAGAAAACGAGAAAATGAAAGAAAACGAGAATAAAGATAAAAGAAAAGTATAAATATAACCATTAATATATTATTATTATTATTATTATTATATTAAATTATATATATATATATATATACACACATACATACATATATGACTGTTGTTTAGATCGAATTCTGGAACTTGGTCGGCGTTCTCAGTGTTTCCGACAAAATGTACTTACGACGAAAGGTGATAAGAGTCGTTATTATATTCATAAAATTAATAAATAAAGAAAGCTTTTAATATCCAGTACGATTTTTGTTCAATTTCCAGGAAGATGAGCCTGGCGTACGCAATTCTTAGATTTCTGAAGAACACATCGGATTGTTTCGTATCTTTTACAAAGCGGAGAAAACTTCTGCATAGCGCGAAAACGTCAAGTGAAAAAAATTCCTGGAATTTTGAACGGCAATTTTTCGATATTTGCCTTTTTGCCTTTTCTTTTTCATGAACTGCAATTTTTCTTTCCATCGAACTTCAAAAAACGTAATATAGAAGATATTGTTCGAACGTTTAGAAAGGTTTTTCTTCGATTACTTTTTCACAAACAGTTAATTAACGTTTCTCTTTACGTCAAGTTTCAATCGAGTTTCAGCGTGCACAAATATAAATCGAATCGACAGTGAAGAAATCTAAATGGTGAAAGTGAAACTACGATACTTGCAGGATCCATGGCACGGGATGCTGACTCACATTTGAATGTTTCCATCCTCTGTTTAAAGAACATTCTTCGACACAGTATGACGCATACGCCACGAAATGCTGAAGCAATTTCCCTTGTTACGATCCTCTGAACGTGACGCAGGATTCAACCTGTTAATTTGCTAATTTGTCTGTCGATAGAAAAAGAAAGAGCAGGCAAACACTCACTTTCAGTTTGTTGAGAAAACCGAGAACAGCAAGTGTTTAATTTAAAACGTTCACAATAAAGGCATTATACAGATATGATATGAATAATGGAAATTTGTATTTACGAAACTAATTAGGTAAATCATCATTCATACTCGTATACATTAAATAAATCATTAATTAGTTCGTTAATTGTCACCACCACTACTAATTAAATTTTCAAAAGAAATGATGTTTCATATTTATTTCAATTATTTTTCATCTACAAGTAAGCAACGCTCTCATAATTAATATATTCGAATATGAAAATGTTTGTAGTAAAGTTATTTGGGAGAATATCCCAATTTTTTAATGCTTGGCATTAAAAGGAAGTGGCTATTATTCAACAAACATTAGACACGCTTCGAAACCAGTTTCTTAATGACTACCGAAGGATTCTCCATTCATAAGAAGAAGATCCATCCGAGTATCCTAGACCTTGCGCGAGGGTGAAAGTCGAGGTCGAGATCGACTCGATGATTCGAAGCTCATTGAAGAAGCATCGACCAGGCTGTCTGTGCACAGATATTCGTTCTCGGAAAATAATTAAATGACTAAGTAAGATGAATCTTCAATTCCCACGATAAATTATACTCGCTTATTGAAATGTTATGTTCTGCTCCATTTCTCCATATATATTTTCTTAGTTATTTTAAAATGAAAAAAAAAAAAAAAAGAAAAATTATACTGCTTACTTTTGTTAACACACAAGTACTTTCTTTCTTCTTCTTAACCAGGAGACTTAGATCAAAAAAATACGACATCGAACAATGAAAGAGCAGTGAAGAAATACATTACAAAATCCTGTCAGTTTTCCCATAACCAGGCACTTTCAAACCGATTCCATCATTCAAAAAAAATAATATAACAGGTATATGTCACAATTTTCATATTCGACAAAATTGCATAATGACTTTCCTACCTCTGCTTTCAATGTTCGAAGGAATAAAAAAACGACACATGTCGCATTTTGTAATGGCATATTAAGCCAGACCAGTGGATCGAGGACCGAAAGGAACTTTCACGAAAAGGAAGAAAAATATTTCGCGACTCGCGAGAACCTGAATCCGCTTGTTTCTTTATATATATATGCCACAAGTCTGGTGGCCCTATTCGACCCGCTGAAATTTTCATACACACAAATGGAAAGTTATGAGCGCGGCAGCCGGTCGATCCAGTTTTCACGATTCCACGAGCCGGATTCAACGGATACGTCGTGACAATCGTTCTCTATCCCTTTCCATCACGCCACCTGACCTCGTAATCGTGATTTTCTAAATTGTTTGTTTTTCAGTAACACGTCTGTCTCGTCCGATCGCATTCTTCCATTCTGTACTTTTTGCTGTTTTTGCTCGATTACTTTGATTTTTTTCCAGCTTTTGTGGAAATTATGACAAGGACTGCAGAGGTAATGCATATTGAGTTGTTGAAGATTCATTGAAACGTTATCATCAGTGGAAAACATTTTCAAAGGAAGATATTTTTGAAAGGAAATGAGTAAATAAAATTTGTTGAGGTGGAAGGAATTTATGTGAATGATCTCTCTGATCTAATTTAATAGTATAAAAATTAAATTCATAGTGTAAAAGTTTGTTCTTCAATCTTTTATTTAATATATTAATATAGAGCTTAACAATCCCATTTCATGTTTGCAATATATATACATACATGTATCACACTTATTTTTAAAGCTTCATCTTCATATAAATATACAATGTCAAATATAGGAATTTTTTTTATTCACATTATAGTAATAAACTTTATTGTCAATTACAGGAGAAATCAATCTTCAGCCAATTAGCCAATAAGTATGAACGAAGAAACTTTATTCTGTAACTTTTCAAAAAGAAGTTCCATTTGAAATTCTTATTTACACAATTTCACATGGAATTTCACTATCATCAAACTAAGTTTCCAATTTCTCTCTACAGTTATAATTTATCGCATCCTACTGCCACTTTTTCTTTCTATACATAAATTTTCCAAGAACATTTACCTCCAATTTTTAGATAAAGCTATGATTACTTAACAAATACTGCTACGAGTATAAGTTAAGTTCATCTAGCAAGATACAGGAACGAAGCTTCAATACTCAGTTTCTTCAATTTATAAATATTCACGTAAAAGTGTTTAAAAGGTTGGTTTCTTGATTTAAGTTCAGACTGTCCGGTTTCATATGATTTCCATAATTTCTACAGAGAGAAGTGGGCTTGGTCCAACAGAGGTACGAACGTGAAAGTAAGATTCCACTGCACCGGTTCTTATTTAGCTTCGTACATACATATGTATGTATGGACACAAGAGAATACGATCACAGAGATCTCTACACGTTCCAGTGGACGAAGACAGTCCGGGGGCTGTTCCACGGAAGCGTTTAGAAAACTTTCTCCACTGGCCATGACCTCGATCCGACTGACGTTTTGGTAACAACGAGCTAAGTGGCTACAGATAAGACAAATTGGTGCCTACCATTAAGCCGCAATGAAGATACCACGTTGATGGTGTTGAGGAAAATCGTTACTGCCTATAAGTTCAATCGAGTTCCTTTGTTCTCTTGGCAGGGATTTTTATGTAGTAATCCTTTAACTTACTCTTGATTGGGAGTTACGAGTGGGATGCTTTTCTTGAGAAATTGACATATGGTAAAATGAAAAGTTGCACTTTCCCGTAACTTATGGCGAATCTTTCCTTGAAAAATTCTCTTGGAAAGTGAAATGGAACGTAAAATGGTGTCGAGCCCTTTGGATTTTCTTAACGTGATTTACGATGTTAAAAACGTTCACCAAACGAAGATGCATAGCGAATTGTAATATGTTAAATTGATACTGTAATGTAATGTCATTAAATATTCAAAAAGCATCTACAAATCTATTACGATATAATCAAATAGTATTCAATGCGATGGAACGTGACTTGCGTGTAGAAATTTAATTACACGTGTATTAGTAAGTAATGCTCTGAATGCACTGTAATAGTGTCGTGAGTGGAACCTTAATGTAATTCATGTTTATGTGGCATTGTTTATTTTAAAACACTTTTATCAAAACTAATGTTTTGAATTACATATAATATACATAACTTAATACTACTCATATAACTTAATACTACTGATATAACTTTTAATTTTTAATTATTAAATAGAAATATTATAACATCAGAGGTGCATAATTCAAATAATTTTGAACAATATGTTACAACTTTAAATTAGTATTTCTATTTTAAAGGTGGTACATATTTATAGCGACATTTCTCTGTGTGATTTACAACACAGTATTATAAAAGTGCTAAAAGATTGTGAAAGAATTATGCAACTGGCAATGCAAGCTTGTTTTCCCGATACAAGACTAATCTCGTAACTATCTGTATCGTGAAATGTCGACCTACACGGGTCAAGATCTTTCCCATGAGAAATGATCATCGATTATTCAACACATTCCACTCCAGCATGCATGTAAGGTACGTAAATGTAATCTAACAGAGATCATTTCTTCAAACTTTGTTCACTCACAACTCTTTTAATATAGCAATTATTTTTATCAGTGTTTTTTAACAAATTTATACATATTTTTTTTTATTTTTAGCAGAACCGGAGTTAAAAACTTGAAGAAGAAAAAGAATAATTTTCTTAAAAAAAAAATCCGGATTATCTGTTGGCAAAAATCGCTTCGAGCATTGCAAACAAAAGTTTAATGAAAGCCATGAATCAGCCTGCGACAGAAATCGTAGGAATTTGATAGGGTGCCTGGGATTCTTCGGCAAGAACAAACTTTTCGCAAACATGGGTCCCCTTGTGTAATGGAATGCTAATTGAACGGGAATCCATTGAATTTTCTTTCGCCCATAGTTTCGTCAAGACTAAGAAAAGATGATACATCACGTTAAAAATTTAAAATTCAACATCTATGAAAATTAGTTTTTGTTTCAACAAATTGTCTAACTTAACTTACCATTGCTTAAATTCTTTCTTTACTAATTTAATGATCTAACAGATCCTGTTATTATTTTCTAAAGATTAGGTATGTGACTTTAATTTATACTTTTTATCTTCTAAAAAAAACTGTGTTTAAATTTGATTATCGTACGATA